AGATTTAATAAAGGAGGATGAAGCTGGTGAGGGGGATGGGGGAGAAAAGGGAAGGAAAGAAAAGGAGGAAGGGAAGGGAGGAAGGAGTAATGGAGAAAAGGAAAGGGAGGGAGGAAGGGAGGGAAGGGAAAGAATTAAAAGAAGGAGAAGGAAGGGAAGTACAGAAAGGAAGGAAAGGGTGGAGGGAGGGAAGGGGGCGTTGGTGTGGATGAGAGAATGAGGAGGAGGAGGAGAGATTGTGAACCCAAACATGGATCAGGACCAAACTTGGGAGAAATCCTTAATATGCCCAAAGGTGAATTCTGGTGGAAATTGGGGAAAATTTGGCCTTGGGAGCTGCTTGGATGTCCAGCTCACCTGGAACTGAACTGGGCTCACCCCTTCCTTCGTTCCTTCCTTCCTTCCTTCATCCCCAGCACACTCTGCTCTATTAGGGGCGAGGCTTACTGGAGCCCCTTGATGGCGGCACCCAAGGGGAGAGCTGAAGACGGAGGAAGAAGGGAAGGAGGAATGATAGAAGGGAGGGGGGAATGGAAAGAGGAAAGAGAGAAGGAAAGAGGGGGAGGATGAGGGAAAGAGGGAGGGAAGAGAGGAGGCAGGGAAGGCATGAAGGGAGAAGATGGGGAAGAGAGAAGGAAGGGAGAGAAGGAGGAGGGAGAGAGCCAAGGCTGACTCCAGGCCGTTGCTGGCACAGGCTCCGCCACGTGGAGCTCTTCTATGTGTGCGAGCGCGCGCGCACCCACCCACCCCCTGTCCCAGTACGCGTGCCCAGTGGTATCTTCTCCTTTTTTAGGATTTGTAAGTTTTTTTTTGTTTTTTATTATTGATGGTCACACCTTGTATGGTGAGGAGTTTTGTTGCCAAATTTGGTGGGTATTGGCCCAGCGGTTCTTTTGTTTTTAAGCCACTCATTACGACATGAGCATTTATATATATATAGATTAAGCAGGGGCTGTATGGCCATCTGTCAGATTGGAGTTGATTGTGCTTTTCCTGCCTGGCAGAAAGAAGGGGGTTGAACTGGATGATCTCTGGGGTCTCTTCCAAGTCTACAGTCCTATTATTATTATTATTATTATTATTATTATTATTATTATTATTATGCAGATTGGCTTTGATTGTGCTTTTCCTGCCTAGCAGAAAGAAGGAGGTTGGACTGGATGGCTCTTGGAGTCTCCTACAAGCTTACGGTTCTGTAGTAGTTGTTGTTAAGCAGGGGCTGTATGGCCATTTGTTGGGAGAACTTTGATTGTGCTTTTCCTGCCTGACCGAAAGAAGGGGGTTGAATTGGATGGCCCTTGTGGCCTCTTCCAAGCCTACAGTTCTGTTGGTATTGTTATTGTGGTCTCTTCCAAGTCTACTGTTGTTGTTGTTATTATTATTATTATTATTATTATTATTATTATTATTATTATTACTATTACTATTAAGCAGGGGCTGTATTGCCATCTGTCAGGAGGGCTTTGTGCTTTTCCTGCCTGGCCGAAAGAAGGGGGTTGGACTGGATGGCCCTTGGGTCTCTTCCAAGTCTACAGTCCTATTATTATTATTATTATTGTGGTCTCTTCCAAGTCTATGGTTCTATTATTATTATTATTATTATTATTATTATTATTATTATTAAGCAGGGCTATATGGCCATTTGTCAGGAGGGCTTTAATTGTGCTTTTCCTGCCTGGCAGAAAGAAGAGGGTTGGACTGGATGGCCCTTGTGGTCTCTTCCAAGTCTACAGTTCTATAATCAGGGCTGTATGGCCATTTGTTGGAAGGGCTTTGATTGTGCTTTTCCTGCCTGGTAGAAAGAAGGGGGTCAGACTGGATAGCCTCTGGGGTCTCTTCCAAGTCTACTGTCCTATTATTATTATTATTATTATTATTATTATTATTATTATTATTGTGGTCTCTTCCAAGTCTACAATCCTATTATTGGTCTCTTCCAAGTCTACAGTCCTATTATTATTATTATTATTATTATTATTATTATTATTGTGGTCTCTTCCAAGTCTACTCTTCTATTATTATTATTACAATTATTATTCAGCGGGGTTTATTATTAAGCAGTTATTATTATTATTATTATTATTATTATTGTGGTCTCTTCCAAGTCTACTCTTCTATTATTATTGTTGTTGTTGTTGTGATCTCTTCCAAGTCTATTATTAAGCAGTTATTATTATTATTATTATTATTATTATTGTGGTCTCTTCCAAGTCTACTCTTCTATTATTATTATTATTATTATTATTATTATTATTATTATTATTGTGGTCTCTTCCAAGTCTACAATCCTATTATTGGTCTCTTCCAAGTCTACAGTCCTATTATTATTATTATTATTATTATTATTATTATTATTACTGTGGTCTCTTCCAAGTCTACTGTTCTATTATTATTATTATTATTATTATTATTATTATTATTATTACTGTGGTCTCTTCCAAGTCTACTGTTCTATTATTATTATTATTATTATTATTATTATTATTATTATTATTATTATTGTGGTCTCTTCCAAGTCTACAATCCTATTATTGGTCTCTTCCAAGTCTACAGTCCTATTATTATTATTATTATTATTATTATTATTATTATTACTGTGGTCTCTTCCAAGTCTACTGTTCTATTATTATTATTATTATTATTATTATTATTATTATTATTATTGTGGTCTCTTCCAAGTCTACAATCCTATTATTGGTCTCTTCCAAGTCTACAGTCCTATTATTATTATTATTATTATTATTATTATTATTATTACTGTGGTCTCTTCCAAGTCTACAGTCCTATTATTATTATTATTATTATTATTATTATTATTATTATTACTGTGGTCTCTTCCAAGTCTACTGTTCTATTATTATTATTATTATTATTATTATTATTATTATTATTATTAATCAGGGCTGTATGGCCATCTGTCAGATTGATTGTGCTTTTCCTGCCTGGCAGAAAGAAGGGGGTTGGACTGGATGGCCCTTGGGGTCGCCTCCAAAGCTTGACCCCTTAATTGGGGAACACGTCAACCAAAGGATGGACGTAAACGAAGAGCTTGGTGGTCCCAATGAAAGGAAAGGGCTGTTGGGGAGAATTGGAGTTGTGCCCCATCGAATGAAGGCCGGGAAACAGCCCCCTCCTTGCTCTGCCAAATGTGGCTAATTTGAGCCGCTCGAGCCACCGCTTGACATTGCATCTGAGTCAGCATCTCGTTGGCATCGCCGCTTAATTAAACCTGCCACTGGTGCCACCGGGATGGACACCTCCTCTCACTCCGAGAGACAGCTGGGTCGTATTATTAAGCGATGGAGACGTGATCCTGTTGAGACGTTTCCTCCCGGTGCGTAAATCAAGGTGGCTTCCTTCTTCCTTTCTTCCGTTCTCTCTCCCTTCCACTAGATCAGCAGTTCACGCTCGGCTTAGTTAATCCGAAACGGGCTATTTATTTATTTGTCGTGTCAGGACAACCAGTCGATTATATTACATTTCTAACAGAACAAAGCAAACAAACAGACAAATACAAAATTTGTGAGTTTGGTAGTTGATTAAATGTCCAGTCTCTGTCCCCTTGGAGTGCCTCTGGTGTTGCTGCAAGAACGTCCTCCATTGTGCATCATGTGGCAGGGCTCAGGTTGCATTGCAGCAGGTGGTCAGTGGTTTGCTCCTCTCCACACTCGCATATCAAGGATTCAACTTTGTGGCCCCATTTCTTGAGGTTGGCTCTGCATCTCATGGTGCCCGAGCGCAGTCTGTTCAGCGCCTTCCAAGTCGCCCCGTCTTCTGTGTACCCAGGAGGGAGTCTATCATTTTGTATCAGTTCTGGGTTTGAGCCTGCCACTTTTGGACTTGCTGAGGTGTTCCAGAGAGTGTCTCTGTAGATCTTAGAAAACTATTTCTAGATTTAAGTCATTGGCGTGCTGGCTGATACCCAAACAGGGGATGAGCTGGAGATGTCTCTGCCTTGGTCCTTTCACTATTGGCTGCTACTTCCCGGCGGATGTCAGGTGGTGCAATACCGGCTAAGCAGTGTAATTTCTCCAGTGGTGTAGGGCACAGACACCCCGTGATAATGCGGCATGTCTCATTAAGAGCCACATCCACTATTTTAGTGTGGTGAGATGTGTTCCAAACTGGGCATGCATACTCAGCAGCAAGGGCAGATGTCTTCACTGTGTCTGGTTGTGATCCCCAGGTTGTGCCAGTCAGCTTTCGTATGATATTGTTTCTAGCACCCACCTTTTGCTTGATGTTCAGGCAGTGCTTCTTGTAGGTCAGAGCACGGTCCAGAGTGACTCCCAGGTATTTGGGTGCGCTGCAATGCTCCAGTGGGATTCCTTCCTTCCCAGGTGATCTTCAGAGCTCGGGATGCTTGTCTGTTCTTGAGATGAAAGGCACATGTCTGTGTTTTAGATGGATTGGGGATCAGCTGGTTTTCCCTGTAATAGGCAGTAAGAGCACCTAGAGCTTCGGAGAGCTTCTGTTCAACCATCTCAAAGCTCCCTGCTTGAGCGGTGATGGCACGATCATCAGCATAGATGAAGCTCTCTGTCCCTTCTGGCAGTGGCTGGACATTTGTGTAGATGTTGAACATGGATGGAGCAAGCACGCTCCCCTGAGGCAGGCCGTTCTTCTGTTTCCGCCCTCTGCTTCTCTGGCCCTGGAACTCAACAAAAAAGCTCCTGTTCTGTAGCAGGTTTCTTTGAGCGGTGATGGCACGATCATCAGCATAGATGAAGCTCTCTGTCCCTTCTGGCAGTGGCTGGTCATTTGTGTAGATGTTGAACATGGATGGAGCAAGCACGCTCCCCTGAGGCAGGCCGTTCTTCTGTTTCCGCCATCTGCTTCTCTGGCCCTGGAACGCAACAAAAAAGCTCCTGTTTTGTAGCATGTTTGCAGAGTTACTAACTGCAATAGGTTTAGTACTCAAAATCAACTGGAAAGGTATAAAACGAGACTGTGCTTTATTTATTTTTGTCTATTGTTTGCCCCTTTTTGGTTTCAGGCCAGCAGAAGGCAATACAGATGCATCAAATGCTGGGCAAGAAAACAAGGTTTCCAATGGACAGACTGCCACCAAACCAGCCAGAGAAGCAGAGAAGCCTTCGGCAGAGACACCGCCTTTCCAAGACCCTCGAGTCCCCTTTCCTTTTTTTTCTAGATTGACAGAGAAAGAGCAAAGGAGGTACCTGTTCCTCCTCTCAAAGTTCGAAAACCCCAACAACGTGGATCCCTCCAGACAGAAAGATTACCCGCAATATCTGGTAAGCATTGAGCTTTGGCAGGAGCTCTGTTACAGCCTGAAAGGGAAGGCGGAGGAGAGAATGTGTGCTGCCAAATCCCTTCCTTCCTTCCTTCCTTCCTTCCTTCCTTCCTTCCTTCCTTTTTCCCTTCTTTCCTTCCCTTCTTTCTTTCTTGCGCCCTTCCTTTCCTCCTTCCTTTCCCCTTCTTTCCTTCCTCCTTTCCTTCTTTTTTCCCTTCCTTTCTTCCTTTCTTCCTTTCTTCCTTCCTTCCTTCCTTCCTTCCTTCCTTCCTTCCTTCCTTCCTTCCTTCCTTCCTTCTTTTCTTCCTCTTTTCTTCCTTCTCCTCCTTCCTTCCTTTTCCTTTTTTTCTTTCCTTCCTTCCTTCCTTCCTCCTTCCTTCTTCCCTTCCTTTTCTCCCTTCTCTTCCTTCCTTCCTTTTCCTTCCTTTTTTCCTTTCCTTTCCTTTTCTTTTCCCTTCTTTCTTTCCTTCCTTTTTCTCTTCCTTCTTTCTTTCTTTCTTTCCTTCTTCCTTCCTTCCTTCCTTCCTTCCTTCCTTTCCCCTTCCTTCCTTTCCTCCTCCTTCCTTCTTCCCTTCCTTTTTCCTTTCTTCCTTCCTTTTCCTTTCCCTTTTCTTTCCTTTCTTTTTCTTCCCTTCCTTTCTTTTCCTCCTTCCTTCCTTCCTTTCCTCTTCTTCTTCCCTTCTTTTTTCCTTCCTTTCTTTCTTTTCCCTTTTTCTTCTTCCTTCCTTTTTCCTTTCTTCTTTTCCTTTCCTTTTTCCTTCCTTCCTTTTCCTCCTTCTTTCCTTCCTTTTTTCCTTCCTTCCTTCCTTCATTTTCCCCTTTTTCCTTCCTTCCTTTTTCTTTCTTTCTTCCTTTTTTCTTTCCCCTTTTTCTTTTCCTCCTTCCTTCTTCCCTTCCTTTTCTCTTCCTTTCTTCCTTTCTTCCTTCCTTTTGCTTCCTTTTTCCTTTCTTCCTTCTGTTTTCCTTTTCCTTCCTTTCTTTCTCCTTCCTTCCTTCCTCCTTCCTTTCTTCCTTTTCCCACTTTTTCTTACTTCCTTCCTCCCTTTCTTTCTTACTTCCTACCTTTTTCCTGTTTTTTCTTCCTTTCATTTTCCCTCTTTCCTTCCTTTCCTCCTTCCTTTTTTCCTTTCCCTTCTTTCTTTCCTTCCTTTTCCCCCTTCTTCCCTTTCTTCCTTTTCTTTCTTCCTTCCTTTCCACTTTTTCCTCTCTCTCTCTCCTTCATTGACTTAATCAAGGAATTGCTCATAATAATGCGCGTCACGGGTGTCTTGTTTTTAGCAAATGAAAGAATTTGTCAGCAAAGAAGTTGCGGAGTTCTTGAAGTTCGCCCAAAACGCGGCCAAAAGCTGCACTAAAGATTACGAGGACATCTCCGAGGAGGCGTTGCTTTACAGCAAGGTAACAAACAGTGAAAAGTTGTGCCTTTTCTCATAATAATATAATTTTATTTCTTACCTGCTTCTTTGGGCAAAAATTGGGACTCCTCCAATACAGATAGTGCCTCGCAATAGCACTATACAACAATTTTCAATAATATCGTATATAACTTTTCTTTAAAAAGCGTGACAGTACTATTTCTCTAAACACTTATTTGGTCAAAAGACCAAAAAAAGCTTAATGTTGACTTAGCCCCAGCTTCTGCCTACCTAGCAGTTCAAAAACATGCAATTGTGAGTAGATCAATAGGGAAGGTAACAGCGCTTCATGCAGTCATGCCGGCCACATGACCTTGGAGGCGTCTATGGACAATGCCAGCTCTTCGGCTTAGAAATTATGAGCACCCCCCCCCCCCAAGAATTGGACACGACTAGACTTAATGTCAGGGGAAACTTTTACCCTTTACAACAACAATAACAACAACAACAATTGTCTTTGGAAAATAATGGCTTGAGCAGGTTATAGGGCTAGCTTTAGCATAGCATGTAAATCACCAGCTGCGGCCACCGAAAGGTTGACAGTTTGAAGCCAGGTCAGGGTGAGCTCCTGACCTTCAGCCCAGCTCCCTCGCCCACCTATCAGATTGAAAACAGCATTGTGAGTAGATGAATAGGAACTGCATTAAGCAGGGAGGTATTTTAGGCACAGCGTTTTGATCAGAAAAAGGAGGAAAGTTTATAAACAGAGAAAGCTCTTCTATTGGTCATGGGGGGGGGGTCTGTGTGGGAGGTTTGCCCCACTTATGTCGTTGGTGGGGTTCAGACTGCTCTTTGAATGTAGGTGAACTATAAATCCCAGCAACTACAACTCCCAAATGCCAAGGTCTATTTTCCCCAAACTCCATCTGTGTTCATATTTGGGCATATGGAATATTCATGCCAAGTTTGGTCCAGATCCATCATTGTTTGAGTCCACAGTGCTCTCTGATTATAGGTGAACTGCAACTCCCAAACTCAAGGTCAATGCCCATGAAACCCTTCCCGTGTTTTATGTTGGTCATAGGAGTTGTGTGCCACGTTTGGTTCAATTCCATCGTTGGTAGAGTTCAGAATGCTCTTTGATGGCATTCCAGCAACTACAAGTCCCAAATGACAAAATCAAAAAATGTTGAGTAAAGGACATAGATCGGGTTGTTAGATGTATGCTGTCCAAATTTGGTGTCAATTCGTCCAGTGATTTTTGAGTTCTGTTAATCCCACAAACGAACATTACATTTTTATTTATATAGATATACTATATAATACCTCTTTCTCTTGTCTGTCTTGCTGTTATATAATCGGCATTGAAAGTTTGCCATATATCTGTTCTGTGATCTGCCCTGAGCTCCATTTAATAATAATAATATTAATAATAAAATTCAGCATAGATAAAAACATGTAATCATCACAAACATTAGTTTTATACATTTGTACAGAATCACTATCCATTTCGGTTTGTTTCACTTGTAAGGCTCCGTTTTCATTTTCGAGCACCTCTCCTGAAAACGGGTACCTTTCCGAATGAGCTTTTCGTCCAGTGTCCAAAAAAAGTCCCAAATATTTTCAGTCCATTGTCGTCAAAGTGCTAGGGCCAATAGCTGAGTGCTGAGGAAGAGGCACTCGGATGTAGGCCCTGTTAGGGCCTGCTCAGGGTGTTGCAATCCAGATCAGGAAACGAGACCATAAGATAACCATCCACCATACTTGACTGTGGGAAAAAAACAATCCCTTTTTATTGATGAAAAATGGTTACAAAATAGAGGAAAATGCAAAGTCAAAAAGCCACAGTAAAATTCAGGAGTCAGGAATATCTATAAACTTGATCAAAATTTCAAAAGCAACACTGTAGAAACCTGGAACCTGTTAGCATTTCACTAAACGTACTTGGAACACTAGAAGCCTCTTGGGATGCAGGCCACGGGAAACGGGAAATCTGCCAAGGTAATGCCTCCGTCTAAACGATGCCTGATCTAACGAGACAGCCCAGGGAGAGGCACTTAAAACTAAAGAAACTGTTTCGGGACACACCTCCAGGCTTTGAAGCCTGGGCCTCCCTTTCCCTTAATCTGCTTGACCTTCGCAGACTCTGCGATTCACTCACTCCTGTTTTTCCAAATCTGTCCTTTTCTATCCTCATTAAGGAAGCCAGGTGTTAGCTCCTCTGGAGAGCTATCCCTGCTTGGTTCTGAAACATTCTCATCAAGCTGTGTAGTTTCACTTTCCAAGCCACTGACCTCAAAATCAACATCTTCCAAACCATCAGGGAAAAATACATGTTCAGTAGCCTGTTCAGTTGCATCAGGAAATACAATCAGAGAATCAGGTTCAGGTTCACACGGAGGCTGAACCCCAACACAGGGTCTACAGCCGAGCGCAACAAATGCCAAATAAGAGGCACTGAAAATCAGCTCACCAAACGGTTACCACTTACCTTTCGTTTCACCATTTTTCCGAACAGGAGGGGGGTGTACTGTTTCGTGCCATCCAATGAATGATACGTAACGAAAACACGAAAGAAACAAATGAGACAAATACTGGGCTCATGACTAATGAACATTATATAAAATATACTTACTGAAATGTATTTTCACATATGAAAATGCACAGTGTAAAGATTACAATATAATGAACACAAGACGCGAGTTTAAAATTCATGTTTAAAATACAATCAGGTTTGACGTTTGTGGATCTGATTGAAATGTCCATAGAATTGTATTGGAGTGTCGCACTTCAGAGTAGATTCACCTTGCTGAAATCACCAAAATTGCACACAGACTGAAGTCTTTGTAGTTTATTGAAAAGTAATAGATAAAAAGTTATTAAAAGCAAGTAATGTTCCAAAAGATCAATAAAACATAGCACTGTAAGGCAGGATTCCAAGAGTCACCAACGAAACAAAATCTTATGAGAACATGACAAAGTCCCAAGACCATGGACACAAGAACTATAAGATAATCCAGGCAAACGAGCACGAGCTGATTGGTTGAGCAAAAAGTCGCTCTGACAAAGGTTTGCTTTCAAACACACTGCTTAATACCCTTTGCAATACATGAAAGCATTTATTTGGCCTCTGACCTCCTTCTTGTTGGCTATTCTCACACTCCTTCGAACTCTGAATTCCAAACGGTCAGCCCGATCTAAGATTCCCATTTCCTCAAGGTCAGGCTGCTCATTAGTGTCAGCCTGGTTGCCTTCCTGCCTACTCTCAGGCTGAGAACTGTCCTCCTTTTCTCAGTCAATCTGCACCTGGCTAGTTTCAGTATCAAAAACATCATTCCCCGCTGTGGGAAACTGAACTTGCACACCCTGTTCCTCATTGTCGACAACAGGAACATTTTGAACCTGATTGTGAACCTGAACCCCATCATCCTCGTCAGAGTCACTCTGAGACCCCATCTGAGTCACAACACTATCAGTCTGTGTCTGTGGTTCCAGCTGACTCACAACATGGAGAGATGCTCTGTCGGGTCAAAACATAGTGCTTTTCTAAATATGTTTCTTAGACGTTGTTAAAGATAATCGTCTTGCAAATATTTTTATATGTATTTATTAGGCTTGGGCGGTTTCATTCGTTAATTTCGTAATTCGTTATTAATTCGTATTTAAATTAGCTTACGATCCAATATTGAGCCATGCAGGAATAGTGTGAGGAGTAAATTAGATTCTAAACAATTTTTTCAATTTATTTCGTAATTGTTTTGTAATTGTTTCGTAATTATTTCGTAATTATTTTCGCATGTCTGGTGCAAGTTTTATAGTTGTTGTTTGTTTTATCACACCAACAGTCAACAACAGAGGGAGAGGGAAGCTTCAGAAGTTCCCCCTGTCCCATTTGGAGGTTTTTTTAGCATATTGCGCAATCGCGCCCGCCATTAACGAATCGATTCGTAATTATACGAAATTTCGTAAATTTCGAAATTTTTAAAAGGAAAATTTTGGAATTCTTTTTAAAAACAAAACGCGATGGACCCCTAAAAACGAAACAAGTTTAGAAACAATTTTTTCCGTTGTTACCCAGGCCTAGTATTTATATATTTATATTTTTCCCCTCCCAAGAAATTCTTAAGCTCCCGCCTCGATTGTGTGAAGAAGTATCCAGAGTCGTACACATTGTGTGAAATAACCAGCATCATGGGAGGAAAATTTAGCCCTGAGCTGACACTTACGTTGGAAAAAAGCCTTCTTGCCTTGGTAAGTATTTGCGAGTTCAAGGAATACGACTTTTAGAATATTTTGCTGACTTGCTTTTTAACAAGGGATTGTACGTATGAGGCCATTTTTCTTCACAAATCTCGTCAGTTGGGAATAAACAAGATTCTATGTTATTATTATTTTACTAATATAAAATAGAACTGCATCATGTAATAAAGCCTTCATATGCTGATAATATAATATATTGTGTTGCAAGACAGACCCGTTAAAGCACCAGACCAATATTAATTCAAGTACAGTTTATTAGTTAACAATCAAAAAGGAGCCAAAAAATAAGTCAACAAGGTTCAAAACACTTATTCTTCAGTGTAAAACATAAAATTACCCACAATTGGGCCAAAAAACAAAACCTGGAAAATAACCCAGATTAAACCGGAATATAATCCAGTTTAAACTTAAAGTTATGCAAACAGCAAGAAAAAGCACTCAAAACAAACGAAGGTCGTCTCAGCACACAGGAGTCGTCAGAAACACCGAGGTCATCCACCGTGAAGTTGTTGCATCCCAGATCAGGAAACGAGACCATAAGATTAAATCCACCACACTGGACTGTAGGAGAAACAATCCTTTTTTTATTGATGAAAAATTGGTTATAAAAGAAAGGTAAATGCAAAGTCAAAAAGCCACAATAGAAACACAGCAATCAGGAAAATCTCTGAACTTGAGCAAAATTCCAAAAACCACAATACAAAAACCAGGAACCTGTTAGCCTCTCGCTAACCAGGTACTTAAAAACTAGAAGCCTCTGGGATTACCGGCCATGGAACACAGGAAGTCTGCCAAGGCAAAGCCGCAGTCCAAAACGTAGCTTGATCTAACGAGACACCCAGAAGGAGGCCCCTTAAACCAAAGAAACTATTCCTTGAAATGCCCCTTGACTTTGAAGCCTGGGCCTGTCTCTCCTGTGATCTATTTGACCTTCGTAGAAACTGTGAATCACCCCTGTCTCTAGCTATCTGTTCCCTTCAGTCCTCATTAAAAATCCCAGGTGGATTACTATCACGGCTGGATTCCAAAACATTTTCATCCGGCTGTTCAGTTTCACTTTCCTCGCCACTGACCTCAACATAAACAACAGTTTCAACACTGTCAGGGAGAGATACATGTTCAGTTGGAAATACAATCAGAAAATCAGGTTCACACAGAGATTGGGGCTGGGGCTCAGGTTCACACAGATCAGGCTGAACCCCAACAGAAGTCAGTCCAAAACGAAGTCGGCATCCCAAAGAAGCAAGCGTAGTGAATCCAATCCGGGTAGTAGAGTGAGAAGTCAGCATACACGAAAATCCAGTCCAGGTCTTACACAAAGCCAAAACGGAGAACAGCAGCGCAGCAGCTGATGCATAAAGATCAACACAAGGCAATCCAGAGAAAACCCTCACAGTTCCAGCCCACCAAAGCCGTGGATAATCCGGTTTAACATGTCTTCCTATACAACAGAATAGCAGAAAATACAAGCTGAAAATACAGAAGGAATTAGATATCAACAACAAAATAGAGGAGCTAGAGAAAGAACTCAAAAAGCATCCAAAGAATGAAAAAATCAAATTAGAGCTGGAACTGCAGAACAAGAAAAAAGAAAATACGGAGTTAGAACAAATGGCAAGAAATCTAGCATTTCTAAAACAAGACCACTTTCAAAATGCAAACAAGGCAGGAAAGTGGCTCTCCAAGAGAATTAAGAAGAAAAAAAGTAAACAGAACATCGTACAAATTGAAGAAGGAAACAAGATCTATACAAAAGATGAGGAGATAGCGGCCCAGTTCCATAAGTTCTATAAGAAATTATATAGGAAAGATCCGATAAGCAGGGAAAAAATTAATGAATATCTGGGCAAACAAAAAATAACAAGGATATCGGAATCCCAGAGAGAAAGCCTAAACAAAGAGATCACGACAGAAGAACTAGAAGGGGCAATAAAGAGACTCAAGGCAGGAAAAGCTCCTGGCCCAGATGGCCTTCCTATGCTATACTACAAAAAATTAAAGGAAATTATAATACCACATCTCAAAAGGGTAATGAACAACATCTTACAAATTGGAACGATACCAAAAACCTGGAAAGAGGCCAGCATAATAATGTTGCATAAGGAAGGTACAGACCCCCTCGGGTAAGGAACTACAGACCAATCTCGCTATTAAATAGCGATTATAAGATCTTTACATCAATCCTAACAGAAAGATTAAAAAACTTTTTAATAACATGGATTAAAGAGGAGCAGACTGGCTTTTTGCCAAATAGAAAGATGAAAGATAATGTCCGAAACATCCTAAACATCATTGAATACTTTGAAAGTCATAACGAGAAGGAACTGGCGATACTAACGATCGACGCGGAGAAGGCGTTCGACCATCTAAGTTGGTCCTTCTTCAAATCAGTATTCAGAGAAATGGACATAGGGTTTAATTACATGAATGCCATAAATACCATCTACGCTGACCAAAGCGCAACCATCAAGATAAACGGGCATGAATCAGAAAGATTTATGATAGAGAAAGGCACGAGACAGGGCTGCCCCCTCTCGCCGCTAATTTTCATTCTAGCGCTAGAAATCCTGCTAAACGAGATTAGGAAGGATAACAGATTGACAGGAGTAACAATACAAAAGGAATCCTTTAAACTAAGAGCATTCGCGGACGACCTTATTTGCACAATACAAGACCCCCTCAGTAACATCAGCCTATGGATAGAAAAAATAGAAGAATTTGGCAAGATCTCAGGCTTTAAAATTAACAAAACAAAATCAATGATGCTCACTAAAAACATTTCAAGGGAAAGAAAAGAAAGATTGACAGCCCTCACAGGTCTACAAACAACAACGAAAATTAAATACCTCGGTATATACATTACGGCGAAGAACTCCCAACTATTAAAAAACAACTATGAAGTAAAATGGAGACAAATTAAAAAAGATCTAAAAGACTGGCAATATTTGAAACTCTCTCTCATGGGTAGAATAGCAGTGGTAAAATCTAATATACTCCCCAAAATGTTGCATTTATTCCAAAATATACCAATAATAAGAAAGAAACAACTATTTATAGATTGGAACAGAGATATCTCAAGATTCATTTGGAATAACAAAAAACCCAGAATTAATTATACCAATCTAACAGACGAAAGAACAAGAGGCGGCCTAGGTCTACCAGACCTCAGGTTGTATTTTGAGGCTAGCTGTATGGAGTGGATCACAGATTGGATTAGATTAGAGAATAAAAAATTATTAATGTTAGAAGGCCACGACCTAAGATCTGGGTGGCATGCCTATATATGGAACAACAAGGCAAAGGTAGAAAAAAAATTCCGAAATCACTTCATCCGTGCGGCCCTTTTAAAAGTTTGGGATCAGTACAAGGGGAGAATGTACCCGAAAACACCGCTATGGCTCTCCACCTTGGAAGCACACCAAAGGAGAGAGATAGGTTGGAGAACATGGCCCACGTACAAAGACCTTCTCGCAAAGACAGGAAAGGAAGAAAAAATGAGACCACTAGAAGATCTAAAAGTAAAATACAACAATCTTACATGGCTTCAATATTGGCAAATGAAAGAGCACTTCCTAAAAGACAGTCAAATAGGCTTCATGGAAAGCCTATCTACTTGGGACAGACTAATAGAAAAACCAAGAAAATTCATCACCAAAGCATATAAGCTACTGCTTGAATGGTCTACGGAGGAGGAGAGAATCAAAGAATATATGATTAAATGGGCAAGACTGATAGGAAGAACAATATCTTTAGAAGAATGGAACATTATCTGGAATATAAAAACAAACTATTCATATGCCTATGAGATAAAAGAACACTGGATTAAAATGGTACACCAGTGGTATTTAACACCCTCTAAGATAGCCAAATTCTCGAAAAATACGTGCAACAAATGCTGGAAATGCGGGCTAGAGGAGGGAACCTACAAGCACATGTGGTGGACCTGCGCGAAAGTAAAAGCTTACTGGAAAACAATCCAAGAAAATTGCCAAAAAATATTAAGAAAGAACATCCCGCTAAATCCAGAGATATTTCTATTGGGCTTAACAGAAAAAACATGGGACAAAGAGATTGATAAGCTATTTGTCTATCTGGTTACAGCGGCTCGCATACTCCTTGCAAAAGTCTGGAGAAAAAAGGAAATGCCATTGGAGACAGAATGGATCAATAAAATAATGGACATAAAGAACATGGACTACCTATCATATATTCTTTCAACTACACGAAATGTACCGATGGTAGAGACAAACTGGTCACCGATTGAGGAGTGGCTGGAGGAGAGAAAGTTAAAACTGTAAACGGGCAAATACCCACCCCCCCCACCCCCAGTTAGGACTCAAACTGATTGAGGAGTAGTGGGAGGAGGAAAAAGTCAAAGTTGTACTGGGCAAATACCCCTACTCTTAGCTATGGTTTAAACCGCAATATATTCTTGGCAAATACGTAAAACCTAGTGGTTTATCGGAGTACAATCCTCTTTAAGTGCCGCAAATCAAAATACATGTAGCAAATTAACAGCTAAAACTTTTATTTTAACATCAAACACTACTCTAAAACGTAAATCATCACAGATTAGGAAAAGAAGTAAGATAAAAGCTAATGGGCAGAAGGGAACACAGGTACTGAAACAAACTAGCGAGTAACAAAGGGAAACCATAAGACAGGAATCACGAGAACCTTTTTTAGATAAGATAGTAAAGATATTTACACGAAGATCTTTGAAGCAAGAAGGACAATATCGTATATACCCATACAAGAATGAAGTATTGAAGAATATACGGATATCTCGATATAAAAACGAAGACTGCAAACGAGGATAAAGAGAAAATCCACCAGAGTGGGTGAGAGGAGGTCCGGCCAACCGAGGTTGGCCAAGTTTTTAATATTTCTGTTTATGTGTATTTGTACTATGTCATATTTGTAACCAACTGTTTCGTGTTCTGTATATAATAATAAAAAAAAAACATGTCTTCCTAAACACAGCTCCCAGGAACAGACACCCAGCAACACCTTGCCGACCGCAAGGAGTCCCCATTTCCCAACCCCACTTTTATTTACAAATCTTCCTTGGAGCTGGAACTAGCCAACGCCCTGCCAACTCCCCTTGCAGCTGAAGCCCCTTGCCCCAATTCCTCCTCCGAACTGGAATCAGACAACGCCCCACCATTTCTCCTTCCACCTGAAGCCCCTTGCCAATCTCTCCAATCTCTCCATCTTCTATCCAAACCCATAACTTCCCAAGATTCAGCCGGATCCCCAGTGTGCCAATCCTTTCCTCCAGAGAAACCCACAAATGCATCGCTACTTGTGGGCTCTTCACAGACGGCCTGAACCTGCCGTACTTTAGTCCAATCCATTTCTTCATCCTCTGAACATGCCATACCACTCTCCTCCGTCTCAGACCCATTATTCCCTGCGAAGCCCACAAATGATTCATCATCACTGGATTCCATAAGTATTTCCCGGATCCGCTTTCTCTGTTGTTCCTCACGAGTAGTCTTTCTTCCCCTCCTAATACTCCCAGTAGTATCACTACTCGAAGACTCCATCACAACATATCGTATATACATAATATTGATAATATTATAATGTACTGCAATATAATACTACTTCTAATAATATACTATTATAATTATATATTTTCTATTAAATGTAATATTACTAATAATATTACAGTATAATGTTATAGTACAATGTAATATATAATATTAATATTGTGCTATGGGAATAATATAATATATTGTATTTACTTTTTATTTGTAAGCCGCTCCGAGTCCCCTTCGGGGTGAGAATGTCGTAAATAAAATAAATAAATAAATAAATAAATATGTATTTACAGCTATTATTTAAAAAAGGAAGAGCATTGACTCAGCGAGATTAGAAGTGAACTTTAAACTCACGCCCTGTGTTTTTACTGCATTTTAATCATTGTTCTGTAAAATTTAATGTATTTCATTGAAATACATTTTAATATATGTATTTTATATAATGCTTCATAATGATGTCATTTTGACTGTGTTATGCCTTGCCTTGAGTCTCAAGAAAAGGCAGGCAAAAAAATATAATACAGTGTTCCCTCATTGTTTCACGGTTCACTTTCCGCGGACTTGCTGTTTCGCGGTTCGCTTTCCGCGGACTCGCTGTTTCATGGTTCGCTTTCCGCGGACTCGCTGTTTCACGGTTCACTTTCCGCGGACTCGCTGTTTTGCGGTTCACTTTCCGCAGACTCGCTGTTTCACGGTTCACTTTCCGCGGACTTGCTGTTTTGCGGTTCACTTTCCGCGGACTCGCTGTTTCACGGTTCGCTTTCCGCGGACTCGCTGTTTTGGGTTCGCTTTCCGCAGACTCGTGGCTGCTGGGGCAAGGTGGGGAAGCTGGCCCTGGCCGATCCAGGGGTGGGGCCTGCCGCTGCTTGGATCAGCCAGGGCCGGCTTCCCCACCTCACTTGAAACTTCTCACTTTAATTTTTTAGCAACATTTTATCAATCCTACAGGAAAAAATCAAATGTTTTCTTCTCTCATTTGGCGGCTGAGCCAAAAGTCTTAAATTTCCTGTCTATTTATTTTCCTTGAAGGGAAAAGTGAACCTCGTTAAGAGACACTTTCCAAAACTGCCGGCCTCAATCCAGTTACCTGTTCGTCACTGTAAAGCCGATGTGGGAATGGACACGCCGGAGCAGAGGGCTGCTGCAATGCACAACGTAAGTTTATGGAATTCCTGTGCCTGCTACTTAGAGTTCATCTACAGCAGTGGTTCCCAACCTTTTTTTGACCAGGGACCACTCCCCAACATTAGTACCAAAAGGTTACGAATCAGTTTTTGGCCAACTTTATTTTTTATTAATAACGAGCTTGGGGACCCGGCGCTGCCCGGGTTATTAGAGAAAGTGGGTAATGGAGGTTCTGTATGCCAAGTTTGGTCTTTATTGGTCGTTGGATGATGGTTGCATTGTTTTCAGTAAGTGAGTGAAGGTACTTGAGGTCCCATCATTCATGGTCCACCCTCCTCCAAACTGCAGCAGGATATAGAGTGGTGTTGGGGTTCAGCCTGTGTGTGAACCTGAACCTGATTCTCTGATTGCTGAACCTGAACCTGATTCTCTGATTGTATGTCCTGATGTTACTGAACATGTATTTTTCCCTGATGGTAATGAAAGTGTTCATACTGAGGTCAGTGGCTTGGAAAGTGAAACTGCGCATTCTGATGAGAATGCTGCAGAGCCAGGCGGTGATAACTCTCCAGAGGAGTTAGCACCTGGCTTCCTTAATGAGGATAGAAAAAGAAAGATTTGGAAAATCAGGAGTGAATCGCAGAGTCTGCGAAGGTCAAGCAGATTAAGGCAAAGGGAAACACAGGCTTCAAAGCCTGGAGGCGTGTCACGAAACAGTTTCTTCCGTTTTAAGTGCCTCTCGCCGGGTTGTCTCATTAGATCAGGCATCGTTTAGACTGAGGCATTACCTTGGCAGATTTCCCGTTTCCCGTGGCCTACATCCCAAGAGGCTTCTAGTACTCCAAGGACAGTTAGTGGATTGCTAACAGTTTCCAGGTTTTTACAGTGTGGCTTTTGGAATTTTGATCTAGTTCATGGATATTCTTGACTGCTGATTTTTACTGTGGCTTTTTGACTTTGCATTTTCTTCTATTTTGTAACCATTTTTCATCAATAAAAAGGGATTGTTTTTCCCACAGTCTAATGTGGTGGTTTGTTATCTAATGGTCTCGTTCCTTGCTCTGGGTTGCAACAAGTGGGTCATGGGGGCTCTCTGTGCCAAGTTTGGTCTTGATCAGTCATTGGATGAGGGTGGCAGTGGTTTCAGTAATTGAGTGAAGGTACTGCAAGTCCCATCATCCATGGTCCACCCTCCTCATTACTGCAGCAGGATGTAGAGTGGGTCATGGGGGCTCTTTGTGCCAATTTGGTCTTTTTTTTTTTATAAATATCTTTATTAACATTTTCATAATACATAGGCAATCAAAAAATGCAGATAAAAACAGATGGGGGGGAAGAATAGAAAGGGAGTAACGAGAGGAGAGATGGTGGGGGTTTGTGGGCAGAGGGGATTTGATGTGGTTTTGGTAGGATGGGGGGGGGCGGGTAAGGTATAGGGTATGGTATCAAAGGATAGATTCAAGTTTGAAAAAGAAGTATAGATATAGAGTAAAAGAAAAGAATTCAAGATAAAAGAGAATTTTCTTGTCCATCTATGTGACTTCCAGGACTCTTCAAGGTTGGTTTTTCTCCTTTTCCTTCTTTCCTCCTTCTCTCTTCGTCTCGTTGGTTATATACTTAGATTTGACTAGTATTTTTTGTTTGTATTTGATTCTGTTTCGTTCTGTCTGTGTGTGCTTCATTACCTATTACTTAATTTTTTATTTTTAAGTATTCCTTAAATTTTGTCCAGTCGGTTCCTGCCTCTGTTACTCCTTTACTCCTTTGTATTAGGTAATTTAGACTGTCCATGTTTCTGACATCCAATATTTTTCTTTTCCAGTCTTCAATTTTGGGTGTTTCTTTTTTCCTCCACAGTTTTGCAAAGCACATCCTGGCAGCTGTAGTGGAGAGGAACAGCAGTTTGTCTGTGTTTTTGTCTAACTTCATCTTTGTAATGCCTAGTAGGAATATTTCCGCTTTCAGTGGTCTTGATCAGTCATTGGATGAGGATTGCAGTGGTTTCAGTAATTGAGTGAAGGTACTGCAAGTCCCATCATCCATGGTTCACCCTCCTCCAAACTGCAGCAGGATATAGAGTGGGTCATGGGGGCTCTGTGTGCCAAGTTTGGTCTTGATCAATCATTGGATGAGGGTGGCAATGGTTTCAGTAATTGAGTGAAAGTACTGCAAGTCCCATCATCCATGGTCCACCCTCCTCCAAACTGCAGCAGGATGTAGAGTGATGGTCACTCGTTGGCCTGATAGGTGTATTGTGTCCAAATTTGGTGTCAATTCGTCCAGTGGTTTTTGAGTTATGCTAATCCCACAAACAAACATTACATTTTTATTTATATACATTACTTATATTATATGTGTATACAATATATTATAATATTAGCATAGCACAATATTAGCATTATATATTGCTATATTGTTGCTGGGGGGAGGGGCTACCAGTTGATGACCCAGGAGACATTCTGTCCCTTGGATCTATTCATCATAACAATTTTTGTTTCCTTCTTTCGTTCCCTCCCTATTTATTTATCTTTTTAAAGGATGTGAGCACAGATGCCAATGCTGAAAAACTTGCGGCGAAATACTGTCCTCAGGTGGTCCTCACCGCCGAATCGTTATATACTTTGCTGAACAATCACGGCCTGGATTATAAGGAACAATGGGAACTCCCCGTTTCTGTGAAAATGCTTTCGGTTCCAGGTAAGTGTCTGTTCCTGTGGAATTTGGAATAATAATAATAATAATAATAATAATAATAATAATAATAATAATAATAATCTTTATTTATAACCCACCCTATCTCCCTGAGGATACTCCGGGCGGTTTCCAACAAAGAAATTGGCAAACATTCAATGCCAGAGTTGTTGTGAATTTTCCAGGCGGTCTGCCCATGTTTCAGAAGCATTCTCTCCTGACGCTTTGCCTACATCTATGGCAGCGATCCTCAGAGGTTGAGAGGTCTGTTGGAAACTAGGAAACAGGTTTATATATCTGTGGAATGATGTCCAGGGTTGGGGAAAGAATTCACTATTGGAGGTAGGTGTGAATGTTTCAATTGGCCACCTTGATTAGCATTGAATGGCCTCGCAGTTTCAAGGTCTGGCTTCTTACTGCCTGGGGGAATCCTTTGTTGTGAAGTGATTAGCTGGCCCTGATTTTTTCTTGTCTGGAATTCCCCTGTTTTTGAGCATTGTTCTTTATTTACTGTCATTATTTTAGAGTTTTTTTTAATACTGGAAGCCAGAGTTTGTTGATTTTCACGGTTTCTTCCTTTCTGTAGAAATTGGCCACATGCTTGTGGATTCTCTGTGTAGTCTGACAAGGTGGTTTATTATTATTTATTTATTTATTTACGACATTTATATGCCACCCTTCTCACCCCAAAGGGGACTCAGAGCGGCTTACAAGGTATATATGCATACAATATATTATTAGCATAGTACAATATCAGTTTTAAATATTGCTATATTGTATTATATCAATTATACTGTAATATTATTAGTAATATTACATGTAATATAAATATATAATTATAATATCATATTATTATTATTATATTGCATTACTGTCAGGTTTTACAATGTATTGTAATGTAATTAGCTGAGTCATGCTCTGCTAATAGGCTTCTATTGGGAATACTGACTCATGCATTAACTGTATATAGGGATTCATTTGGGGAATGTGTTCTGGCCTAGTCCAGGTGATTGTGAATGATGTAATCTTGGGTCTGAGTTAAGTCAATGAGTTGGGAACCAATCAAAGATTGCTATGTGTAATTGTATAGAATTGTATATAAGGAAGTCGTGTGCAGTGTATATTTCTCCTTGTGCTGTGATGTTGTTCGTCGAAGGCTATATGTACTTAAAAGAACCTATCTGCTAAGACAAGATATAACTGTATGCTGTGGTAAGTTTGTAATATCATCTAGACTGGGGGAAAGACAACGGTAAAACTGACAATGGCTGGGCATGTGCTCAAGCGTATGTAAAAGGTTCCAGAGTGACTGCAGGCTGTGGGAGTGGTTGACTGAAAATACTGTGCAGGAAGAAGCTACTGGAAAGCGCTGAAGTTGTGCAACTGATCTGCTGCTGAATTGTGAAGTTAATCTCAACAATTACATTATAATATTATAAATTATTGTGAGAGTTGTCCAGCATTTTTGTGCTGTGTCCAGGTTGGTTCATCAAATGCTCTAGTGTGACAGTAAGAAGCCAGATCTTGAAACTGCTAAGCAATTAAATGCTAATCATGGTGGCCAACTGAAACATTCACACCTACCTGAAACAGACAAGCGTTCTTTCTCCCACCCTGGACATCATTCCACTGATATATAAACCCCATTTTCCTAGTTTGCAACAGACCTCACAACCTCTTGAGGATGCCTGCCATAGATGCAGGTGAAACGTCAGGAGAGACTGCTTCTGAAACATGGCCAGACAGCTTGAAAAACTCACAGCAACCCAGTGATTTCGGCCATGAAAGTCTTTGACAATACATTAAATGCCAAAAATAAATACCTCCACTCCCTTCCCAAGATTGCTGGAACCCTCATTTAATGACCGACCAAGACCAAACTTCGCACACAGAGCCCCCATGAGCCACTCTACATCCCGGTTCTGTTTGGAGGAGGACGGATGATAGATGATGGGACTTGCAGTACCTTCACTCACTTTCTGAGACCACAGCGACACTCACTTGAATACCAAAACAAGGCCAAACTTGCCACAGAGAGCCCCCATGGCCAAATCAACATTCTGGTGAAGTTTGGAGGAGAACAGACTATGGATGATGGGACTTGCAGTACCTTAACTCACTTTCTGAGACCACTGCGACCCTCATCCAATGGCTGATCAAGACCAAACTTGGCACACAGTGCCCCCATGACCCTCTCTCCATCCTGGTGCAGTTTTGAGGAGGATGGACCACATTTGATGGGACTCGTAGTACCTTCACTAACTTCCTGACACCACTGCGAACCATATAAATAACTGATAAAGATCAACCTTGATACACAATTCCTTTCTCAAATAACCTGGGCAGCGCCGGGTCCCCAAGCTAGTACTGTAATAAATCTAAAACACAGTAACATTATTAATTAAAGTCTGCAGCTCATTATTTAAAGGACAAAAGAAATGAAGTGATTGATAGCACTATGTAACTAAATGAGAAAAGTGTTCTGTTCCTGGTTTGAAAGTGTTATTTCCTGTTTAATTGTGTGGTCCTTACATTGAAAGTAGTTGTTCTACTCCAGAGACTTTGTTTTTGTGCCACAAACTATGTTGAATTGGTTGAGACTTGATGATGTATTATTCACTGAAAAACTAGAGCAAAATATGTTGTACGATGTTCTTCCCGCAAGGAAAAACTTTTGGTAGTTTAATAAAATTTTCACATGTTTTTCTGATAGAACCAATTAGGTAATTGGGACAATTGCAGCTGTATTGGGACAATTGCAGCAATTTTTGGATGACACAGCCGGCCTGGACCCTTTCCAGTCAGGCTTTCGCCTGGGTCATGGGACGGAGACGGTCCTGGTTGCTATTACAGATTAACTTCGTCGTCAGTCTGATAGCGGCGGATCGGCGCTTCTGGTACTTCTCAATCTTACCGCAGCGTTTGACACCATTGACTACGATTTAATGATCCACCGTCTCGCCATGTCCGGAGTTCGTGGTCAGGCCCTCAATTGGTTCAATTCATTCCTCCGAAACCGGAGTCAGTGCGTGGAATATATGGACCAAGTCTCCGAAAGTTCCCCCCTCCTATGTGGGGTCCCCCAAAGTGCAATTCTCTCCCCTCTTCTTTTCAACATCTACGTGAGACCCCTTGCCAGTTTGGCTCGGAGATTCGGCCTGGACTGCTATCAATATGCGGACGACACCCAACTCCTGTTGCGCTTGGAGCCTGGAGTAACGTCAATCCCTGATAATTTCACCTTATGCCTGGAGGCTCTGTCGAACTGGCGAGGTGCTAGCAGACTGAAGGTGAATCCGGCGAAGACTGAGATCCTGTGGCATGGCCGCCCGAGAGGTCTGACCCATCCGTTACCTATCTTTGATGGCGCTGCTCTATCTCCATTGCCTACCGTTAAGAGCTTGGGTGTCGTTTTGGATTTGCAGCTGACGATGGAAGCTCAGGTTGCTGCTGCCAGCAAGCAGGCCTTTTTCCATCTACGACAAGCGAGGCAACTGGCACCTGACCTGTCAGATGTGGCTCTGGCAACAGTCATCCATGCCACGGTCACGTCTAGGCTGGACTATTGTAACGCCTTGTATGTTGGCCTTCCTATTTCTACGACCCGAAAGCTTTGTATTGTTCAGAATGCTGCAGCCAGGTTACTCACAAAAGCGCCCATGAAATACCGTATAACTCCAGTGCTGCGGCATCTACACTGGCTCCCAATTGAGTATCGTGGTTTGTATAAGATGCTGGTCCTGACCTTTAAAACTTTATTTGGCCAGGGTCCATTGTATCTTAGAGACCGTCTCTCCTTCTCATAGAATCATAGAATCAAAGAGTTGGAAGAGACCTCATGGGCCATCCAGTCCAACCCCATTCTGCCAAGAAGCAGGAATATTGCATTCAAATCACCCCTGACAGATGGCCATCCAGCCTCTGTTTCAAAGCTTCCAAAGAAGGAGCTTCCACCACACTCCGGGCAGAGAGTTCCACTGCTGAACGGCTCTCACAGTCAGGAAGTTCTTCCTCATGTTCAGATGGAATCTCCTTTCTTGTAGTTTGAAGCCATTGTTCTGCGTCCTAGTCTCCAGGGAAGCAGAAAACAAGCTTGCTCCCTCCTCCCTGTGGCTTCCTCTCACATATTTATACATGGCTATCATATCCCCTCTCAGCCTTCTCTTCTTCAGGCTAAACATGCCCAGCTCGTTAAGCCGCTCCTCATAGGGCTTGTTCTCCAGACCTTTTAACATTTTAGTCGCTCTCCTCTGGACACATTCCAGCTTGTCCCATCATCGGAGGTCACCACGACCATCCCAACGCAATTTGCTCTATTTACCGGGTCCTAGGGAAGTGCCCTTGGAAAGCACCAGGCGCAGGGCCTTCTCTGTTTCTGCCCCTGCCTTGTGGAATTCCTTGCCTCCCTATTTGAGATGAGCCATGCGTGACTCAGGGCATTTTATCCCAGCACTTAAGACCTGGCTTTTTACTAGAGCATTTGACCCATCTTAATTTTAATATTTGTATGTATGTGTTTTATCCTGTATAATTTCCGCTATGTAAATCGCCTGGAGCATCTCGGATGTAGGGCGATTAATAAGTAATTAAAGATGATGATGATGTAATGATACAAAAATCGTGCTACATAGTGTAATAATAATGATAATAATAATAATAATAATAATAATAATAATAGGATTTAAAAATCAAACTGCAAAGACTCTAGCACAAGCCAGTCAAGGTGGTCCCAGTGGTGATCGGCACACTGGGTGCAGTGCCTAAAGACCTTGGCCTGCACTTAAACACAATCGGAGCTGACAAAATTACCACCTGCCAGCTGCAGAAGATCACCTTACTGGGATCTGCACGCATTATTCGCCGATACATCACACAGTTCTAGACACTTGGGAAGTGTCCGACGTGTGATCCAATTCAACAGCCAGCAGAGGTCAATGTCCACCAAACTCTTCCAGTATTCTGTTTGTCATTAGAGTTCTGCGTGCCAAGTTTGGTTCAATTCCATCATTGGCGGAGTTCAGAATGCTCTTTGATTGTAGGTGAACTGTAAATCCCAGCAACTACAACTCCCAAATGACAAAATAAATTTGTTTTAGTGAAGGACATACATTGGGTTGTTAGGTGTCTTGTATCCAAATTTGGTGTCAATTCATCCAATGGTTTTTGAGTTTAGTTAATCCCACAAACAAATATTACATTTTTATTTATTTAGACTAGCTGTACCCACCACGCATTGCTGTGGCCAACCTTCCCTCCCTCTTTCTCTCTTTCTTTCTTTCTTTCTTTTCTTTCTTTCTTTCTTTCTTTCTTTCTTTCTTTCTTTCTTCTCTCTTCTTTCTTTCTTTTTTTCCCTCCCTCTTTCCTTCCTTCCCTCTTTTTCTTTCCCTTCTTCTTTCTTCCTTATCTACCTGTTTCTTTTCTCGCTTGCTTTGCTCTTTGGTTCCATCCTTCCTTGTCTCTTTCCTTCCTTCCTTCCCTCCCTCTTCCTCTCCTTCTTTCTTTCTTTCTCTCCTTCCTTCCCTCCCTCTTTCCTTCCTTCCCTCTTTTTCTTTCCCTTCTTCTTTCTTCCTTCTCTACCTGTTTCTTTTCTCGCTTCCTTTGCTCTTTGGTTCCATCCTTCCTTGTCTCTTTCCTTCCTTCCTTCCTTCCCTCTTTCTCTCTTTCCTTCTTTCTTTCTCTCCTTCCTTCCCTCCCTCTTTCCTTCCTTCCCTCTTTTTCTTTCCCTTCTTCTTTCTTCCTTCTCTACCTGTTTCTTTTCTCGCTTGCTTTGCTCTTTGGTTCCATCCTTCCTTGTCTCTTTCCTTCCTTCCTTCCCTCCCTCTTCCTCTCCTTCTTTCTTTCTTTCTCTCCTTCCTTCCCTCCCTCTTTCCTTCCTTCCCTCTTTTTCTTTCCCTTCTTCTTTCTTCCTTCTCTACCTGTTTCTTTTCTCGCTTGCTTTGCTCTTTGGTTCCATCCTTCCTTGTCTCTTTCCTTCCTTCCTTCCCTCCCTCTTCCTCTCCTTCTTTCTTTCTTTCTCTCCTTCCTTCCCTCCCTCTTTCCTTCCTTCCCTCTTTTTCTTTCCCTTCTTCTTTCTTCCTTCTCTACCTGTTTCTTTTCTCGCTTCCTTTGCTCTTTGGTTCCATCCTTCCTTGTCTCTTTCCTTCCTTCCTTCCCTCCCTCTTTCTCTCCTTCACTTCTTCTTTCTCTCCTTCCTTCCCTCCCTCTTTCCTTCCTTCCCTCTTTTTCTTTCCCTTCTTCTTTCTTCCTTCTCTACCTGTTTCTTTTCTCGCTTCCTTTGCTCTTTGGTTCCATCCTTCCTTGTCTCTTTCCTTCCTTCCTTCCCTCCCTCTTCCTCTCCTTCTTTCTTTCTTTCTCTCCTTCCTTCCCTCCCTCTTTCCTTCCTTCCCTCTTTTTCTTTCCCTTCTTCTTTCTTCCTTCTCTACCTGTTTCTTTTCTCGCTTGCTTTGCTCTTTGGTTCCATCCTTCCTTGTCTCTTTCCTTCCTTCCTTCCCTCCCTCTTCCTCTCCTTCTTTCTTTCTTTCTCTCCTTCCTTCCCTCCCTCTTTCCTTCCTTCCCTCTTTTTCTTTCCCTTCTTCTTTCTTCCTTCTCTACCTGTTTCTTTTCTCGCTTCCTTTGCTCTTTGGTTCCATCCTTCCTTGTCTCTTTCCTTCCTTCCTTCCCTCCCTCTTCCTCTCCTTCTTTCTTTCTTTCTCTCCTTCCTTCCCTCCCTCTTTCCTTCCTTCCCTCTTTTTCTTTCCCTTCTTCTTTCTTCCTTCTCTACCTGTTTCTTTTCTCGCTTCCTTTGCTCTTTGGTTCCATCCTTCCTTGTCTCTTTCCTTCCTTCCTTCCCTCCCTCTTCCTCTCCTTCTTTCTTTCTTTCTCTCCTTCCTTCCCTCCCTCTTTCCTTCCTTCCCTCTTTTTCTTTCCCTTCTTCTTTCTTCCTTCTCTACCTGTTTCTTTTCTCGCTTCCTTTGCTCTTTGGTTCCATCCTTCCTTGTCTCTTTCCTTCCTTCCCTCCCTCTTTCTCTCTTTCTTTCCTTTTCTCCTTCCTTTCCTCTTTCACTTTTTTATTTCCTTCTCTACCTTTCTTTCCTTCTCTCCTTCCTTCCTTCCTTCCTTCCTTCCTTCCTTCCTTCCTTCCTTCCTTCTTTCTTTCCCCCTTTCTGCATATATGTCTTATGCGTGTGTATATATTTGTGTACATGTGTATATAAGTGGTTTTGTGCATGCATTGTAATGTGTGTGTGTATATATGTATATTTGTGTGTGCTTGTGCATATATATGTGTGTGTGTATGAACGTTTGTGTATATGTGTGTGTTTGCATGTATACGTGTGTTTGTGTATATTTGTGTGTTTATATATGTACATGCACATTGTGTTTATGTGTATGCATATTTGTGTGTATATATATGTGTGTGTATGTATTTGTGTGTATATGTGTATATTTGTGTGTGCCTATGCATATATATACGTGTGTGTGTATGAATGTTTGCATGTGTATAAATATATATGTGTGTGTATATGTATTTGTGTGTATATGTGTATATTTGTGTGTGTCTGTGCATATATATATGTGTGTGTGTATGAATGTTTGCATATGTATAAGTATATGAGTGTATGTGTATATGTGTATATGGTGCATTTTTGTATAAGTCTGTTCTGCTGGGGTTTCTGTGTATGTGTTTTGTGTGTGCATATATGTGTGTATATATTTCTGTATATATTTCTGTATATGTGTATATATGTGTGTTTGTGTACATATGTGGTTTTGCACATGCGTTGTAATTTTTTTGTTTGTTTTTTGGCTTTTTAAGTCCCTTCTGCTGTATTTTTCAGTGTTTTATGAGAGACTAGCTGTCCCCTGCCACGCGTTGCTGTGGCCCAGTCTGTTGATATGGAAAATAAAGTATTGAGAAAATGTTGGTTTCTTCAGAGGCCCCTTTCAAATCTATGATACTATATCTGTGTGTGTGTGAATCATGTCTATCTATATCTATGGCTGGATGGCTCTTTGTCAGGAGGGCTTTGATGATGTTTTCTTGCCCTGATGAAGGGAGTTGGACTGGATGGCCTTGAGCATTTTCTGTTGGTCCTGGGGGTTCTGTGTGAGAGGTTTGCCCCAATTCTGTCGTTGGCGGGGTTCAGAATGCTCTTTGATTGTAGGTGAACTATAAACATTTGATTGTACATTTGATTTGAATTGATTGATTGTAGGTGAACTATAGGACATTTGATTGTAGGTGAACTATAAATCCCAGTAACTTCAACTCCCAAATGTCAAGGTCTATTTCCCCCAAACTCTATCTGTGTTGATATTTGAGCATATGGAATATTCGTGCCAAGTTTGGTCCAGACCCATCATTGTTTGAGTCTGGATGTAGGTGAACTACAACTCCCAAACTCAAGGTCAATTCTTACCAAACCCTTCTAGTGTTTTCTGTTGGTCATGGGAGTGCTGTATGCCCCGGTTGGTTCAATTATATCATGCTATTTGATTGTAGGTGAACTATAAATCCCAGCAACTACAACTCCCTATCTATCTATCTATCTATGGCTGGATGGCTCTTTGTCAGGATGACTTTGACGACGTTTTCTTGCCCTGTTGAACAGAGTTGGACTGGATGGCCTTAAGTATTTCCTGATGGTCATCGGGGTTCAGTGTGGGAAGTTTGCCCCAATTCTGTCGTTTGTGGGGTTCAGAATGCTTTTTGATTGTAGGTGAACTGTAAATCCCAGCTACAACTCCCAAACGTCAAGATTCTATTTTCCCCAAACTCCACCAGTGTTCGTATTTGGGCATATTGAGTATTTGTGTAGAGTTTGATCCAGATCCATCATTGTTTGAGTCTCTGGATGTAGGTGAACTACAACTCCCAAACTCAAGGTCAATGCTTACCATACCCTTCTAGTGTTTTCTGTTGGTCATGGGAGTCCTGTATGCCCCGGTTGGTTCAATTATATCATGCTATTTGATTGTAGGTGAACTATAAATCCCAGCATCTACAACTCCCTATCTATCTATCTATCTATCTATCTATCTATCTATCTATATCTATGGCTGGATGGCTCTTTGTCAGGAGGACTTTGACGATGTTTTCTTGCCCTGTAGAACAGAATCCACAGTGCTCTCTGGATGGAGGTGAACTACAACTCCCAAACTCAAGGTCAATTCCCACCAAACCCTTCCAGTGTGTTCTGTTGGTCATGGAAGTCCTGTATGCCATGATTGGTTCAATTCCATCATTGGTGGAGTTCAGAATGCTCTTTGATTGTAGGTGAACTATAAATCCCAGCAACTACAATTCCCAAATGAGGAAATCTATTTTTTTGAGTGGAGGACATAAATTGGACTGTTAGGTGTCTTGTGTCCAAATTTGGTGTCAATTCCCCCAGTGGTTTTTGAGTTCTGATGGTAGCATGAATTAACATTGCATTTTTATTTATATAGATTGTACATTTTAACTGTTGTTGTATTCCGTCTTGAGTACTTGGAGAAAGCCGATATAGAAGTTTCCCAAATAAATTCATAATGTTACGTGGTGTAATCTCACAATGACATTTGAAAAGTTTATGATGAAGGGAAGTTGTTTTCATCACTACAGAAATGCACGGTAGTGTGCTTTCGGATGTATTTGAATCAAAAGGAGGGAGTGGAGGTAACGGGAAGCCCTGCTGAATGCATCCTTTTCGCAACTCCAGCAAAAACGAATAATATGCGTTTCTCTTTCCAGGCCGCAAACCCGTTAAAGTGGTCTACATCGACCCCCCTCTCCCAAAGAAAGAGATGACCGTTCGAGAGAAGAACCAGGTTTTCCATGAATCCCTGGCCAGTTTTCACACAACGAAACAATCCACGGTTTTGGCCCATGCGGCAGTCTTGGACAAGCTCCCAGAGAACCCAGTGAGTTGTGCTTTTAGTGCTCATAGACGGACAATAAGAATCATAGAATCAAAGAGTTGGAAGAGACCTCATGGGCCATCCAGTCCAACCCCATTCTGCCAAGAAGCAGGAATATTGCATTCAAATCACCCCTGACAGATGGCCATCCAGTCTCTGTTGAAAAGCTTCCAAAGAAGGAGCCTCCACCACACTCCGGGGCAGAGAGTTCCACTGCTGAATGGCTCTCACAGTCAGGAAGTTCTTCCTCATGTTCAGATGGAATCTCCTTTCTTATAGTTTGAAGCCATTGTTTCTCAAAGAAGGCATTAAGTAGTTCTGCCTTTTCCCTACCCCCTGTCAGCATTGCCCCATCTTCTCCTCGAAGAGGCCCTATCACCTCCTTGTTTTTCCTTTTTCTACTGACATAAGAAAAGAACCCTTTTTATTGTTTTTAATGTCCCTGGCAAGCCTGAGCTCGTTTTGTGCTTTAGCCTTGCGGACCTTTTCCCTACAGGTGTTGGCTATTTGTTTGAATTCTTCTTTGGTGATTTCTCCCTTTTTCCACTTCTTGTGCATGTCTCTTTTGTGTTTTAGCACAGTTAGAAGTTCTTTGGACATCCATTCTGGCTTCTTTGCACTTGTCCTATTTTTTCTCTTTGTTGGCACAGTTTGCAATTGCGCCTTGAGTATTTCACTCTTGAGAAATTCCCATCCATCCGTAACTCCCTTGTCTTTTAGTATCTGTGTCCACGGAATGCTGCTCAGCCTTTCCTTCATTTTTTGGAAATCAGCTCTCCTAAAGTCCAAAATGCGGGTTTGACTTGTCTTAGTTTCGGCCTTCCTTTGTACCTCAAATTGCAGGAGCACATGGTCACTTGCCCCTAAGGATCCTACCACTTCGACCGCATCGATCAGGTCTTCCGCATTTGTTAGGATGAGATCAAGAGTAGCCAATCCCCTTGTTGCCTCTTCTACCTTCTGAACCACAGCAACAATAATAAGTAAAGGTGAAAGTTTTCCCTAAAATTAAGTCCAGTCATGTCCGACGTGTGAAAGAGATCTTGGGGTCCTTGTGGACAACAAGCTAAACATTAGCCAACAATGTGACCTTAGGAAGTCAGACTTGACAACGGTGGTCCACGCTCTCTAGGATAGACTACTGCAATGCACTCTACGTGGGGTTGCCTTTGAAGACTGCTCAGAAGGTTCAACTAGTCCAACGAGATCTTGGTGTCCTCGGGGACAACCAGTTAAACATGAGCCAGGAATATGATGTGACGGCAAAAAAAGCCAATGGGATTTTGTCCTGCATCAAGAGGAGCCTAGTGTCTAGATCTAGGGAAGTCATGCTCCCCATGCTCTATTCCGCTTTGGTTAGACCACACCTGGAATATTGTGTCCAATTCTGGGCACCACAATTCAAGAGAGATGTTGACAAGTTGGAATGTGTCCAGAGGAGGATGACTCAAATGATCAAGGATCCGGAGAACAAGCCCTATGAGGAGCGGCTTAAGGAACTGGGCATGTTTAGCCTGAAGAAGAGAAGGCTGAGAGGAGATATGATAAGGTAAAGGTAAAGGTAGTCCCCTGACATTAAGTCCAGTCATGTCTGACTCTGGGGTGTGGTGCTCATCTCCATTTCTAAGCCGAAGAGCCCGCGTTGTCCGTAGACACCTCCAAGGTCATGTGGCCGGCATGACTGCATGGAGCACCGTTACCTTCCCGCCGGAGCGGTACCTATTGATCTACTCACATTTGCATGTTTTCGAACTGCTAGGTTGGCAGAAGCTAGGGCTGGCAGCGGAAGCTCATGCCGCTCCCCGGAATCGAACCTGCGACCTGTTTTCGAACTGCTAGGTTGGCAGAAGCTAGGGCTGGCAGCGGAAGCTCATGCCGCTCCCCGGAATCGAACCTGCGATCAACAAGCTCAGCAGCTCAGTGCTTTAACCCACTGCGCCACCGGGGGCTCCGGAGATATGATAGCCATGTATAAATATGTGAGAGGAAGCCACAGGGAGGAGGAGGGAGCAAGCTTGTTTTCTGCTTCCCTGGAGACTAGGATGCAATGGAATAATGGCTTCGAACTACAAGAAAGGAGATTCTATGTGAACATGAGGAAGAACTTCCTGACTATGAGAGCCGTTCAGCAGTGGAACTCTCTGCCCCAGAGTGTGGTGGAGGCTCCTTCTTTGGAAGCTTTGAAACAGAGGCTGGGTGGCCATCTGTCAGGGGTGATTGGAATGCAATATTCCTGCTTCTTGCCAGAACGGGGTTGGACTGGATGGTCTCTTCCAACTCTAGGATTTTATGATTCTGGGGGTTGGTGCTTATAAAGGAAGCAGGGACTTATTTTGGAAAATAAAAATTCCAAAACTGAACAAAACTTGAATTATATAACTATAAATCCCAGCAACTACAACTCCCAAATGAGAAAATCATAATTTTTTGAGCGATGGTCACTCCTTGTGTTGTGAGATGTTTTGTTGCCAAATTTGGTGGGATTTCGTTCATTGGTTCTTTTGTTTTGAAGGTACTCATTATGCACAGAGCATATTAAAATAGCACAGGAGACAAGGTGGAACTGTCCCCTGGCCTCCCCTCTCTTCACTCTTGGGGAAGGAATCCCACTGGAGCATTGCAGCGCACCCAAATACCTGGGAGTCACTCTGGACCGTGCTCTTACCTACAAGAAGCACTGCCTGAACATCAAGCAAAAAGTGGGTGCTAGAAACAATATCATACGAAAGCTGACTGGCACAACCTGGGGATCACAACCAGACACAGTGAAGACATCTGCCCTTGCGCTATGCTACTCTGCTGCTGAGTATGCATGCCCAGTGTGGAACACATCTCACCACACTAAAACAGTAGATGTGGCTCTTAATGAGACATGCCACATTATCATGGGGTGTCTGCGCCCTACACCACTGGAGAAATTACACTGCTTAGCCGGTATTGCACCACTTGACATCCGCCGGGAAGGAGCAGCCAATAGTGAAAGGACCAAGGCAGAGACATCTCCAGCTCATCCCCTGTTTGGGTATCAGCCAGCACGCCAACGACTTTAATCTAGACATAGTTTTCTAAGAGCTACAGAGACACTCGCTGGAACACCTCAGCAAGCGAGAGTCCAAAAGTGGCAGGCTCAAACCCAGCACCTCAACCAATGGCTGATACCAAATGAGAGACTCCCTCCTGGGCACACAGAAGACTGGGCGACTTGGAAGGCTGAACAGACTGCGCTCTGGCACCACGAGATGCAGAGCCAACCTTCAGAATTGGGGCTACAAAGTAGAATCCTCGACATGCGAGTGTGGAGAAGAGCAAACCACTGACCACCTGCTGCAATGCAACCTGAGCCCTGCCACATGCACAATGGAGGACCTTCTTGCAGCAACACCGGAAGCACTCCAAGTGGCCAGATACTGGTCAAAGGACATTTAACCAGCTACCAAACTCACAAGTTGTGTACTTTTCTGTTTGTTTGCTTTGTTCTGTTAGACTGGTTGTTCTGACACGACAAATAAATAACTCTTGGGGCTACATAAAATTATTTCTGGTGGAAAGGGGGTAAAGTTTAAGAAGCCCTGGTCTATAGTTAACTCTGACATTTCAGGCGTTATTACCCCTTCTCTTTTTCTCCCCGTTTTCTCTTTGTAGTTGGAGGCCTCATTTGAAACCTGTCACAGCAGACCTGTGCAGGTAGACGATTCTGCGGATCTGGACTTCGGTACCGATGTCACGGAGCTGGAAACTTTTGGCTCGACACCTAAGTTTCTGAATCCTTCCAAAGCAGAGTGCATCACCCATAAGAAGCTTGGCGCTCTATCCAAAATGGCACCGGAGCAGCCAAAAACATGGAAAGATGCAGCGGCGGAAACGGATAGGCGCGGAAAGAGCAAACCCAAGTCTCAAAGCAGTTGGGATTTTAGTGACAGTTTGTCATTATTGGGTTCCGATCATGAGCAAAATTCATCCAGGTTGATGGAAACCGAACCAGATGGAGAAAGAGTTGCTGTTGTAAACAAGAGCGATGCGGACAGTAATACTTCTTCTCTGGACATACAAAATAACGTAAAGGAAGGAGTTGATGTCCTCAAAGAGGAGAATCCGGCTGTTCTTTCTTGCCGCAGCGATACTGACGACGAGCCTCTTATCATTGACACGGAATGTAGGAAGAGCAATCCGGATGAATCGGGGCCAATTCTTTCTGATCCAAACACTCCTCCCTGCTCTAGAGGAGCCCTAACAGGAAAGTCAGAGGATCCAGGGAAGATTGAGCCAGGAACCACAGGAAGAAAAGAACCGCCGCAGGAAACGAACGCTCCTCCCAAACGTTGCCGGCGACTGTCTAAAAAGTGCGATCCACTCGGGCAGATTTTGAAAATGCAGACCCAGCTCCTGAAGCCGCCTTCTCCGGACTTGAGCTTTGAGAGGTACTTGCATCCCGTTCTACCAAGCCAGGAAAATCCACTGCTAAAATCCTCCGTGTCTTCCACTCCGAATGTGGAACATAGTGATCCAGGGAGCGCACCCAAGTTAAATTGGACAAAATACTTCCAAGGATCTCAGAAAGGTGAGTCTCTTGTGTCAGAAATATTAATAACTAGCTGTACCCGCCACACTTTGCTGTGGCCAACCTTCCCTCCCTCTTTCTCTCCTCCCTTCCCTCTTTCCTTCCTTTCTCTTTTTCTTTCCCTATCTCTCATCTTTCTTCCATCTCTACCTGTTTCTTCCTTATTTTGCTCTTTGGTTACTTCCTTCCTTCCTTCCCTATCTTTTGTTCCTTCTCTCCTTCCTTCCCTCTCTTTTTCCTTTCACTTTTTTTTTTCCTTCTCTCCTTCCTTGCTTCTCTCCTTTCTTTCTTCCTTCTTTCCCTCCCTCCTCTCATCCTTCCTTCCTTCCTTGCTCCTTCTTCCTTCTTCCTTCCTTCCTTCCTCTTCCTTCCCCTCCCTCTTCCTTCCTATTCTCTGCTATTTCTTTGCCCGTTAACATCGGAGATACAGTGCATTAAAATGCTTCCGCGTGCATAGCGTACCGGGGGGGTAGGGTGGGGGATTGGCAGGACGGCGTGTCGAAAAAAAAAAGGTCTTCTTTGCTCTTTGGTTACACCTTCCTTCCTTCCTTCCTTACTTCCCTATCTTTTGTTCCTTCTCTCCTTCCTTCCCTCTCTTTTTCCTTTCACTTTTTTTATTTCCTTCTCTCCTTCCTTGCTTCTCTACCTTTCTTTCTTTCCTTCTTTCCCTCCCTGCTTCTCTCCTTCCTTCCTTCCTTCCTTCCTTCCTTCCTTCCTTCCTTCCTTCCTTCCTTCCTTCCCTCCTCCCTCCCTCTTTCCTTCCTTTCCTCTTTTTCTTTCCCTATCTCTCATCTTTCTTCCATCTCTACCTGTTTCTTTCCTCCCTTTCTTTGCTCTTTGGTTACACCCTTACTTCCCTATCTTTTGTTCCTTCTCTCCTTCCTTCCCTCTCTTTTTCCTTTCACTTTTTTATTTCCTTCTCTCCTTCCTTGCTTCTCTACCTTTCTTTCTTTCTTTTTCCCTCCCTGCTTCTCTCCTTCCTTCCCTCTTTCCTTCCTTTCCTCTTTTTCTTTCTCTCTCATCTTTCTTCGATCTCTACCTGTTTCTTTCCTCCCTTTCTTTGCTCTTTGTTCCCTTCCTTCCTTCCTTCCTTCCTTCCTTCCTTCCTTCCTTCCTTATTTCCTTCCTTCTCTATCTTTTGTTCCTTCTCTCCTTCCTTCCCTCTCTTTTTCCTTTCACTTTTTTCTTTCCTTCTCTCCTTCCTTGCTTCTCTATCTTTCTTTCTTTCCTTCTTTCCCTCCCTGCTTCTCTCCTTCCTTCCCTTTTTCCCTCCTTCTCTCGTTACTTCTTGACTGTCCCTTCCATTTAATATTGTATTTATATCTTAGAAAGAAGGAAAGGAAGAAGGAAGGAGGGACAGGAAGGAAGGAAAAGGGAGGGAGGAAAGAGGAAGGAAGGAGGGAAAGAAAGGAGGGGGATGAAGAAAGGAGGGAGGGAAGGAAATGAAGGGGAAGGAAATGAAGAAAGGGAAAGAAGGAGGAAAGGGAGGGAGGGAGGGAGGAAAAGAAGGAAAGGAAGAAGGAAGGAGGGACAGGAAGGAAGGAAAAAGGAAGGGAGGGAGGGAAAGAAGGGAAGGTAGGAAAAAAGAAGGAGGGACAGGATGGGAGGGAGGAAGGAGAAGGAAGGAAGGAGGGAAAGAAAGGAGGGGGATGAAGAAAGGAGGGAGGGAAGGAAATGAAGGGGAAGGAAATGAAGAAAGGGAAAGAAGAAGAAAGGGAGGGAGGAAGAAGGAAAGGAAGGAGGGACAGGAAGGAAGGAAAAAGGAGGGAAGGAAAAGAAAGGAGGGACAGGGAGGGAGGGAGGAGAAGGAGGGGAAGGAGGGAAGGAAGGAAGGGAAGGAAGAAGGGAATAAGGAAAGAAGGAAGCAGGAGGAAGGAGGGAGGAGGGAAAGAAGGAGAAGGAGGAGAAGAAGGAAAAGGAAAAGGGAGGAGGGGGAAAGAGGGAAGAAAGGAAAAAAGGAGGAGGGAGGAAGGAGAGAGAAGGAAGGAAGGAGGGAAAGAAAGAGGGAGAGAGAGGAAAGGAAAGGAAAAGAGGGAAGGAAATGAAGAAAGGGAAAGAAGAAGGAAAGGAGGGAGGAGGAAAGAAGGAAGAAAGAAGGAGGGACAGGAAGGAAGGGAAGGGGAAAGAAGGAAAGGAAAGAAAGAAAGGAAAGGGAGGAAAGAAGTGAAGGGAGGGAGAGAAGGAAGGTCCTTCATTCAAGCACCGTGGACCTTTCTCGTCTCCTCTTCCTCCTCCCCCTCGCCTTCTTCCTTGTGTGGAGCACTCCGTTGCTGCTTCTGGCACTTTCCAACAGGGAAAGGAGGAGGAGACTGCTCTCCTGACATAGGAGGGGAAGAGAAGGGGCTCCATGCGGCAAGCCTCCACCTCCTCTCCACTCGCTTGTGGAGGAGGAGGGGGTGTGGCCAGGGGTCTCGGTAAACATGCAGTTTCTCCTTTGTGGACATGCAGTTTAGAAGTCCTTTCTGCTTTTGGTTTTCGTTTTTTTTTTTAGTGGAGAACATACATTGGGTTGTTAGGGACATAGTGTCCAAATTTGGTGTCAATTGCCCTAGTGGTTTCTGAGTTCTGTGAATAGCACAAACGAACATTACATTTTTATTTATATAGATAAAACTACAAAGACAACTGCTGGTGTGTTCTTTGGTGTCTTAAGCAAGGTGGTTCTACTCTGAGGTGCGACAGTAGGTGTGCCTGTAGCTTAGTAGGCCTCTGTGTTAGTTGTCCTCAGTATGAGAGAAGCCTCGGTATGAGAAGGCCTCAGTATGAGAAGGCTCCAGTGTTAGTTTGCCTCAGTACGAGGTAAACCTCAGTGTGTGAAAGGTCTCATGTGAGAAGCCTTCGATGAGAGAAGCCCCAGGTTGAGGGCTTCATGTTTAAAGCTCAAGTGTGAAGGCTGCTGTGTCGAGTCCGACTCTGGGGGTTGGTGCTCATCTTCATTTCTAAGCTAAAGACCTGGTGTTGTCCATAAACACCTCCAAGGTCATGTGTCCAATGACATGACTGCACGGAGCACCGTTACCTTCCCACCAATGTAGTACCTACTGATCTGTTTACATGTCCATGTTTCCGAACTGCTAGATTGGCAGAAGCTGGGGCTAACAATTGGAGCTCACCCTGCTCCCCAGATTTGAACCACTGACCTTTCAGTCAGCAAGTTCAGCAGGTCAGCAGTTTAACCCACTGCACCATTATGGGCTCCAATAATAATAATAATAATAATTATTATTTTACTGACACAAAAGCACAGAATGTCATAGCAAATGAGATCTATATGCTAGTTTTCGTATCACAAAATCACACAGTGTGTGTGTTTATGTGTATAGTTATCTGTTTATTGCCTTCTCTTTGGGGAAGGGGAGCTTTGGGACGCCCCTGAAGACCGTTCCTGTTACGAACCCCCTCCCCAGGACAACCAGGTCTACAAACTCTTCAGCCTGGATGACCTGCTGCTGCTGGTTCGGTGCCGGATTCACAGAGTCGAGGTGCGGCCGCGCAACAAGAAAGCCAAAGTCCGGAGGGTAAGTTCTCTTAATCAGTGGAATTACTGTTGTTATTGTTTCCCTTCCTCTTTGTGAAAAGCCTCGCCAGTCCAGAGGTTTTTCTCAATACAATACGCCAGGAGCCACTGCTGTGCACAGTCTCCATATTGACCAAATGGACATCCACACGCACTTTTTATTTATTGTGTCAGTATCAAACAGACAATTATATTACATTTTTAATAAATTATTTAACAAACAGACAAAACAGAATTTGCAAGCTTTGTAGTTGATTAAATGTCCTTTGACCAGTATCTGGCCACTTGGAGTGCCTCTGGTGTTACTATAAGAAGGTCCTCCATTGTGCATGTGGCAGGGCTCAGGGTGCATTGCAGCAGATGGTCTGTAGTTTGCTCTTCTCCACACTCGCATGTCGTGGACTCCACTTTGTGGCCCCGTTTCTGAAGGTTGGCTCTCGTGGTGCCAGAGCGCAGTCTGTTCAGCGCCTTCCAAGTCGCCCAGTCTTCTGTGTGCCCAGGGGGGAGTCTCTCATTTGGTATCAGCCATGGATTGAAGTTCTAGGTTTGAGCCTGCCACTTTTGGACTCCCACTTGCTGAGGTGTTCCAGCAAGTGTCTCTGTAGATCTTAGAAAACTATGTCTTGATTTAAGTCGTTGACGTGCTGGCTGATGGCCAAACGAGGGATGAGCTGGAGATGTCTCTGCCTTGGTCCTTTCACTATTGGCTGCTACTTCCCGGCGGATGTCAGGTGGTGCAATACTGGCTAAGCAGTGTAATTTCTCCAGTGGTGTAGGGCGCAGACACCCCGTGATAATGCGGCATGTCTCATTAAGAGCCACATCCACTGTTTTAGGGTGGTGAGATGTGTTCCACACTGGGCATGCGTACTCAACAGCAGATGTCTTCACTTTGTCTGGTTGTGATCCCCAGGTTGTGCCAGTCAGCTTTTGTATGATATTGTTTCTAGCACCCACTTTTTGCTTGATATTCAGGCAGTGCTTCTTGTAAGTCAGAGCACAGTCCAGAGTGACTCCCAGGTATTTGGGTGCGCTGCAATGCTCCAGTGGGATTCCTTCCCAGGTAATCCTCAGAGCTCAAGATGCTTGTCTGTTCTTGAGATGAAAAGCACTCGTCTGTGTTTTAGATGGATTAGGGATCAGCTGGTTTTCCCTGTAATAGGCAGTAAGAGCACCTAGATCTTTTGTTCAACCATCTCAAAGCTCCCTGCTTGAGCGGTGATTGCATGATCATCAGCATAGATGAAGCTCTCTGTCCCTTCTGGCAGTGGCTGGTCATTTGTGTAGATGTTGAACATGGATGGAGCAAGCACACTCCCCTGAGGCAGGCCGTTCTTCCGTTTCCGCCCTCTGCTTCTCTGGCCCTGGAACTCAACAAAAAAGCTCCTGTTTTGTAGCAGGTTTCCTATGAGGCGGGTGAGGTGGTCGTCCTTTGTGATACTATACATTTTTCTCAGGAGGAGGCGGTGGTTCACAGGATTATAAGCCGCTGATAGGTCTATGAAGACAGTGCATATGTTTGATATGTGTGGAATCAGCCCTTCCTTTTCCTACTTTTTGTCTGAAAATGGTTTCTTTGAACTGATCACAACCAGGTAGCCAATGGGAATTGTTCTTTAAAGTGTCCATTGAACCTGCTTTATCGCACAAAGCAAACTGGGTTGTTTGGCTCTTTGTTTTGCAGCACTGTCCAGTTTTTGTCTTGCCGAAGCTAGAATATCAAGCCTTCTATGGAGCGGAAGCATTGACCGAAGGCGAGGTGTGTCGGCTGTGGATGGAGGGCTTGCTGCATTCCAACACTTCATACACAATTGGTACGTTCATGTCTGATTGAAATAGAACTTCTTTCTCTTCCTCTTGTCCTTCTTCTTCCTCTACTTCCTCTTCTTGTTCCTCCTCTTCTCCTTCTTTCTCCTCTTACTTCTTCCTCTTCTTCTTCTTGTTCCTCTTCTTCTCCTTCCTCTACTTCCTCTTCTTGTTCCTCCTCTTCTCCTTCTTTCTCCTCTACTTCTTCCTCTACTTCCTCTTCTTGTTCCTCCTCTTCTCCTTCTTGCTCCTCCGCTCCTCCTTTCTCTTCCTCTACTTCCGCTTCTTGTTCCTCCTCTTCTCCTTCTTCCTCCTCCTCTACTTCTTCTTCCTCTACTTCCTCTTCTTGTTCTTCCTCTTCTCCTTCTTCCTCCTCTACTTCTTCCTCTTCTCCTTCTTCTTCTTGTTCCTCTTCTCCTTTCTCCTCTACTTCTTCTTCCCTCTTCCTCTTCTTCCTCCTCTTCTCCTTCTTTCTCCTTCTCTTCCTCTTCCTTCTTCTTTCCTCCTCCTTCTTCTCCTCTCCTCCTCCTCTTCTTCCTCTTTTCCTCTTCTTCCTCCTTCTTTCTCCTTCTTCCCCTCCTCTCTTCTTTTTCCCTCTCTTCCTCTTTGTTCCTCCTTCTTCTCTCTACTTCCTCTTCTCTCCTCTTCTTTCCTCCTCTTCTCCTTTCTCTTCTCTACTCTTCCTCTTCTCCTTCTTTTGTTCCTCCTCTTCTTCTTTCTCCTCCTCTACTTCTTCTTCTTCTCCTTCTTCTTGTTCCTCCTCTTCTCCTTCCTCTCTCTACTTCCTCTTCTCCTTATTCTTCTTGTTCCTCCTCCTCTCTTCTCCTACTTCCTCTTCTTGTTCCTCCTCTTCTCCTTCCTCTTCTTGTTCCTCCTCATCATCTTCCTTCCTTCTTCCTGCTTCTCCTTCCTCTTTTTCTTCCTCCTCTTCTTCTATTTATTTTTATCCCACTTTTGTCTCTTGATTTGAACCCCAATGGACTCACAACATTAATAAAACTTCAGTGTAAAATCTACAACTCTTTTTCTTGTCCTCCTTTTTCTTCCCCTTCTTCCTCTTCTTTTCTTCTATTTATTTATATCCCGCTTTTGTTCATTAATTTGGACCCAAAGGGACTCATGACATTAAAACAACCCCACTGCAGTTTTAAATCTACATCTCTCATTTCTCTTCTTCCTCTTCCTCCTCTACTTTTCTTCCTCTTCTTCTATTTGTTTATGTCCCATTTTTGTCTCCTGATATGGACCCAAAGGGGCTCACGACATTAAAAAAACACTGCAGTTTAAAATCTACATTTCTTCTTCTTCGTTGTCATCCGCTTCTCCTTTTTTCTTCCTCTTTTTCTTCTCCTCCTTATTTTTCTTCTTCATCCTCCTCCTCCTCCTCTTCTTCTTTCCCATCTTCGTCCTCTTTTTCATCCTCCTCATCCTCTTCTACTTATTTATATCCCACTTTTGTCTTTTTATTTGGACCCAAAGGGACTCACAACATTTTTTAAAAAACCACTGCAGCTATGACATACAAATATTAAAACAGAATTAAGCATACTTAGATTATCTTCAATGTTTTTTTTTGTGTGAGCCTAGCACAGTTTTCTCTCTTCATGTTTCTTCGATGCAGAATCCCCCTCCCCATCTTCTTTTTTAAAGCAACCAACTGCACTAATTGTCCAGTTCCTTCCGTTAGAAATCAAAGCAACTTGGAACACATCCATAACAAAATGATACACAACCGCTCGGGTTGGTCCTCCATCCCATTGTAATTAAAAAACAATGTCATTGTTCTGTAGCAGAAGGTTTTAATATGGATTTCCATTATATGGAAGTTGCAACCATGAAGCCCTGTGATTTGTGACCTACCTCGAAGGGTTAGTGGGTGAGCAGCCAATTTGTAAAACCAGGAAGATAGGCAAGCATTTGGTGGCTTCAGAAAGGCAGATTGGACTAAATTCTCAGACATGTTACATGACATGATCACATCGGTCACGCCAATCCCTGAGGAATACAAGCACTTTATTGAAATCGTGAAAACCTGCTCACGGGCCTCCATACCGAGATATATAGAATCATAGAATCAAAGAGTTGGAAGAGACCTCCTGGGCCATCCAGTCCACCCCCATTCTGCCAAGAAGCAGGAATATTGCATTCAAATCACCCCTGACAGATGGCCATCCAGCCTCTGTTTAAAAGCTTCCAAAGAAGGAGCCTCCACCACACTCTGGGGCAGAGAGTTCCACTGCTGAACAGCTCTCACAGTCAGGAAGTTCTTCCTAATGTTCAGATGGAATCTCCTCTCTTGAAGTTTGAAGCCATTGTTCCGCGTCCTAGTCTCCAGGGAAGCAGAAAACAAGCTTGCTCCCTCCTCCCTGTGGCTTCCTCTCACATATTTATACATGGCTATCATATCTCCTCTCAGCCTTCTCTTCTTCAGGCTAAACATGCCCAGCTCCTTAAGCCGCTCCTCATAGGGCTTGTTCTCCAGACCTTTTATCATTTTAGTCGCTCTCCTCTGGACACATTCCAGCTTGTCAATATCTCTCTTGAGTTGCGGTGCCCAGAATTGGACACAATATTCCAGGTGTGGTCTAACCAAAGCAGAATAGAGGGGTAGCATTACTTCCTTAGATCTAGACACTATGCTCCTATTGATGCAGGCCAAAATCCCATTGGCTTTTTTTGCCGCCACATCACATTGTTGGCTCATGTTTAACTTGTTGTCCACGAGGACTCCAAGATCTTTTTCACACGTACTGCTCTCGAGCCAGGCATTGTCCCCATTCTGTATCTTTGCATTTTGTTTTTTCTGCCAAAGTGGAGTATCTTGCATTTGTCCCTGTTGAACTTCATTTTGTTAGTTTTGGCCCATCTCTCTAATCTGTCAAGATCGTTTTGAATCCTGCTCCTGTCCTCTGGAGTATTGGCTCTCCCTCCCAATTTGGTGTCGTCTGCAAACTTGATGATCCTGCCTTCTAGCCCTTCATCTAAGTCATTAATAAAAATGTTGAACAGGACCGGGCCCAGGACGGAACCCTGCGGCACTCCACTCGTCACTTCTTTCCAGGATGAAGAGGAAGCATTGGTGAGAATCACCCTCTGGGTTCGTCCATTTAACCAATTACAGATCCACCTCACCGTAGTTTTGCCTTGCCCACCTTGGACTAGTTTCCTTGCCAGAAGGTCATGGGGGACCTTGTCAAAGAAGGCCTTCCTGAAATCCAGACACGCTCCATCCACGGCATCATTCCCCGCATCTACCCAGCTTGTAACTCTATCGAAAAAAGAGATCAGATGAGTCTGGCATGACTTGTTTTTGATAAATCCATGTTGACTATTAGCGATGACTGCATTTGTTTCTAAGTGTTTGCAGACCGCTTCCTTAACAATCTTTTCCAGAATCTTGCCCGATATCGACGTGAGGCTGACCGGACATTGGTCATTGTTTGGGTCATCCTTTTTTCCCTTCTTGAAGATTGGGACCACATTGGCCCTCCTCCAATCTGCTGGAACTTCTCCCGTTCTCCAAGAACTCTTAAAGATGGTTGCCAATGGTTCCGAGATGACTTCCGTTACTTCCTTCAATACTCTTGGGTGTAGTTGATCTGGCCCTGAAAGAGCGGCCAGGTATTCCTGTACGACTTGTTTCCCAATTTGGAGTTGGATGTCCTCAAATCCCTCATCCACTCCGTCTTGCTGAGGTTGAAGATGACTTTCTTTTTGTAGAACCAACGACCTTCAGGGCATTACTCCTGAAACAGCTGCCTTGTTGGAAAAGTATTACAGGCTCCACAATGAAGATCCATTTAGTGAGCAAACCCTTCAGGCAGCTCAGAGCATTATGTCCTCCATCTCTGAAGCCAAGAAAGGACAGTGGATCAAGCTGATCACAGAGGTCGACATGGGCAGGAGCAGCCAGAAGGTGTGGAGGTGGCTAAAACGGTTGAGCAACGACCCCTCACAAACTCATACCCATGCCAACATAAAGGCAGATCAGATAGCACACCAACTCTTGAAGAATGGGAAACCCAACTTTGCCACCAAAGTAGGAAAAAAACCAATAGCCAGACAACCAGAGACTGAGAACAACAACCTTCATGAACCCTTTACATCTACTGAATTGGACATGGCTCTCAATAAATGTAAAAAATGGCAAAGCAGCTGGCCTGGATGGTCTACGGATGGAACAAATCAAGAACTTTGGTCCCAAAGCAAGGCGCTGGCTGCTGGAGCTGATGAACAACTGCACTGCATCCTGTCAGATCCCCAAAATCTGGAGGAAAGCAAGAGTCATCGCCATCTTGAAGCCAGGCAAAGACCGTAATTACCCTAAAAGCTACAGACCAATCTCCCTGTTGTGCCACCTCTACAAAGTTCAAGAGAGACTTATTTTGCATAGAATTACGGAAAAAATAGACCCCTGTCTGATTCCACAGCAAGCTGGCTTCAGGAAAGGCAAAAGCTGCACATTGCAAGTGCTGAACCTGACTCAAAGATGGCTTTGAAAGGCAGCAGATCACAGGAGCTGTCTTCATAGACCTGTCAGCGGCTTATGAGACTGTGAACTACTGCTGCCTCCTCCTGAGAAAAATGTCTAATATCACAAAGGACGACCACCTCACCCGCCTCATAGGAAACTTGCTACAAAACAGGAGATTCTTTGTTGAGTTCCAGGGCCAGAGAAGCAGGTGGCGGAAACAGAAGAACGGCCTGCCTCAGGGAAGCGTGCTTGCTCCATCCAAGTTCAACATCTACACAAATGACCAGCCACTGCCAGAAGGGACAGAGAGTTTCACCTATGCTGATGATCGTGCCATCACTGCTCAAGCAGGGAGCTTTGAGATGATTGAACAGAAGCTCTCCGAAGCTCTAGGCGCTCTTACTGCCTATTACAGGGAAAACCAGCTGATTCCTAATCCATCTAAAACACAGACATGTGCCTTTCATCTCAAGAACAGACAAGCATCCCGAGCTCTGAGAATTACCTGGGAAGGAATCCCACTGGAGCATTGCAGCACACCCAAATACCTGGGAGGAGTCACTCTGGACCGTGTCCTGACCTACAAGAAGCACTGCCTGAACATCAAACAAAAAGTGGGTGCCAGAAACAATATCATATGAAAGCTGACTGGCACAACCTGGGGATCACAACCAGACACAGTGAAGACATCTGCCCTTGTGCTATGCTACTCTGCTACTGAGTATGCATGCCCGGTGTGGAACACATCTCACCACGCTAAAACAGTAGATGTGGCTCTTAATGAGACTTGCCGCATTATCATGGGGTGTCTGCGCCCCACACCACTGGAGAAATGACACTGCTTAGCCGGTATTGCACCACCTGACATATGCCAGGAAGTGGCAGCCAATAGTGAAAGGACCAAGGCAGTGACATCTCCAGCTCATCCCCTGTTTGGGTATCAGCCAGCACGTCAACGACTTAAATCATGAAATAATTTTCTGAGATCTACAAAGACACACGCTTTAACACCTCAGCAAGCAAGAGTCCAAAAGTGGCAGGCTCAAACCCAGAACCTCAACCAATGGCTGAGACCAAATGAGAGACTCTCCCCTGGGCACACAAGACTGGGCGACTTGGAAGCCGCTGAACAGACTACGCTCAGGCACCACGAGATGCAGAGCCACCCTCAAGAAATGTGGCCACAAAGTGGAATCCATGACATGCGAGTGCGGAGAAGAGCAAACCACTGACCACCTGCTGCAATGCACCCTGAGCCCTGACACATGATGCACCAGGGAGGACCTTCTTGCAGCAACACCAGAGGCACTCCAAGGGGCCAGATACTGATCAAAGGACATTTAATCAACTACCAAGCTTGCAAACTCTGTTTTGTCTGTTTGTTAAAAATTTGTTAAAAATGTAATACAATTGTCTGGTTGATACTGACATGATAAATAAATTATTATTATTATCATCATCATCATCATCATCCTCAAGCCACAATACCTTGATGGAGGATTTGGTGAGAAACAGAAGCCGGGCCTTTGTTGGACCTGTGAAAACATTACATTGAATGAAGTGTTTGTCTAAAGTTTATGCAGCTTAAGAGCGTATTCTTGTTGGAGGTGAACCTCAAACAAAGCACAATAGAGCTCCACAAAGTGGGAGAGTTTGCAGGCCAGCGATATGGCCGGCCAGGACTTGAGATAAAGTTACTGTTTAAATATTTCCTCCACCTCTGTGTACACACAGTCCAGTGAATGGAAGCAGTCAGGAGAAACCACACCAAACACTCAGTGCAGAATCCTAGAATCAAAGAGTTGGAAGAGACCTAGAGTTGAAAGAGACCCCAGTCCAACCCCATTCTGCCAAGAAGCAGGAATATTGCATTCAAAGCACCCCTGACAGAGGGCCATCCAGCCTCTGTTTAAAAGCTTCCAAAGAAGGAGCCTCCACCACACTCCGGGGCAGAGAGTTCCACTGCTGAACAGCTCTCACAGTCTTCCTCATGTTCAGGTGGAATCTCGTTTCTTGTAACTTGAAGCCATTGTTCCATTGCGTCCTAGTCTCCAGGGAAGCAGTAAACAATAGGGCTGGGCGGTTTCGTTTCATTAATTCGTAATTCGTTAATAATTCGTTAATTTTTTCAATTACGAAACGATAACAAACCATTCTGGAGCAATTTTTTAAAAAAACGAATTTTTAAACACGTTTTGTAAATGCTTCGTATTTCGTTATTGTATTCGTTTCGTTATTGTTCTGAGGTCGTTTCGTTATTATTTCCGCATGTCTGGGGCAAGTTTTTTGTTTAATTAGTGAAAAAAAATTATAATATCACACCAACAGTCAACAACAGAGGGAGAGGGAAGCTTCAGAAGTTTTTAGAGGTTTTTTAGCGTATTTCGCGGTCGCGTCCGCCATTAACGAATCGATTCGTTATTGTTTCGGAAATCGATTCATTAATGTTTTGTAATTTTTTTCACATTTACGAAATTTCGTAAATATCGAACTTTTTAAAAGGAAAATTTTGTAATTATTTTAAATATCGAAACAAAAAAAACCCCCAAATAAAAATCGATTTTAGAAACAAATTTTTCCGTTGTTACCCAGGCCTAGTAAACAAGCTTGCTCTCTCCTCCTCCCTGTGGCTTCCTCTCACATATTTATACATTACCATCATTGATGTCTTCTCTCAGTCTTCTCAACAAGTTAAGCATGAGCCAGCAATGTGATGTGGCGGCAAAAAAAGCCAATGGGATTTTGGCCTGCGTCGATAGGAGCCTAGTGTCTAGATCTAGGGAAGTCATGCTCCCCATGCTCTATTCCGCTTTGGTTAGACCACTTTACCTGGACTATTGTGTCCAATTCTGGGCACCACAATTCAAGAGAGATGTTGACAAGCTGGAATGTGTACAGAGGAGAGCGACTAAGATGATCAAGGGTCTGGAGAACAAGCCCTATGAGGAGCGGCTTAAGGAGTTGGGCATGTTTAGCCTGAAGAAGAGAAGGCTGAGAGGAGATATGATTGCCATGGATAAATATGTGAGAAGAAGCCACAGGGAGGAGGGAGCAAGCTTGTTTTCTGCTTCCCTGGAGACTAGGACGCGGAACAATGGCTTCAAACTACAAGAGAGGAGATTCCATCTAAACATGAGGAAGAACTTCCTGACTGTGAGAGCCGTTCAGCAGTGGAACTCTCTGCCCCGGAGTGTGGTAGAGGCTCCTTCTTTGGAAGCTTTTAAACAGAGGCTGGATGGCCATCTGTCAGGGGTGCTTTGAATGCAATATTCCTGCTTCTTGGCAGAATGGGGTTGGACTGGATGGCCCATGAGGTCTCTTCCATCTCTTTGCTTCCATGTAGGTGAACTATCATCCCAGCAACTACAACTCCCAAATGTCAAGATTCTATTTTCACCAAACTCCACCAGTGTTCACATTTGGGCATATTGAGTATTTGTGTAGAGTTTGGTCCAGATCCATCATTGTTTGAGTCCACAGTGATCTCTGGATGTAGGTGAACTACAACTTCAAAACCAAAGGACACTGCCCACCAAACCCAGTATTTTCTGTTGGTCATGGGAGAACTGTGTGCCAAGTTTGGTCCAATTCTATTGTTGGTGGAGTTCCGAATGCTCTTTGATTATAGGTGAACTATAAATCCCAAATGACAAAATCAATTTTTTGGAGTGAAGGACATACATTGGGTTGTTAGGTGTCTTGTGTCCAAATTTAGTGTCCATTCGCCCAGTGGTTTTTGAGTTCTGTCAATACCACAAACGAACATTACATTTTTGTTTATATAGATATACAGGGTTAGTCAAAATGAATAGGCCAATAAGAAAATTAATTTTAGACGAATGTATGTTTACTGTAACCAAACCACAGCTACGTAGCGACAGATAAACTATCAAAGTTTTTTTTGAGCAACACACATGTACGTTAATGCCGCTAGGCGTCGCTAGGGGTCGCTGTTTTCAAAATGGCGGAATCAAGCAAAGAGAAGGCGTTTTGTGTGATGACATTTGCTAAAACAATGTCAGTAATTACGGTCCAGCGAGAATTTCAAGGGTTAGGGTTAGGGTTAGGGTAGGGTTAGGGTTAGGGTTAGGGATAGGGTTAGGGTTAGGGTTAGGGTTAGGGTTAGGGTTAGGGTTAGGGTTAGGGTTAGGGTTAGGGTAGGGTTAGGGTTAGGGATAGGGTTAGGGTTAGGGTTAGGGATAGGGATAGGGTTAGGGTTAGGGTTAGGGATAGGGTTAGGGATAGGGATAGGGATAGGGTTAGGGATAGGGATAGGGTTAGGGATAGGGATAGGGTTAGGGTTAGGGATAGGGATAGGGATAGGGTTAGGGATAGGGTTAGGGTTAGGGATAGGGTTAGGGTTAGGGTTAGGGTTAGGGTTAGGGTTAGGGTTAGGACCTCAACGAACACCTTCCCAGACATTGCTGCATTCGATGCCATTACGTCGGATGTGCTGCAACGGATGTGGAATGAACTGGACTATCGCTTGGACATCTGCCGTGTCACACGGGGCGCCCATATCGAACATCTCTGAAGGTGAGACAAAACTTTGATAGTTTATCTGTCGCTATGTAGCTGTGGTTTGGTTACAGTAGAACATCTGCCGTGTCACACGGGGCGCCCATATTGAACATCTCTGAAGGTGAGACAAAACTTTGATAGTTTATCTGTCGCTACGTAGCTGTGGTTTGGTTACAGTAAACATACATTTGTCTAAAATTAATTTTCTTATTGGCCTATTCATTTTGACTAACCCTGTATTATTATTATGTTTCTGAATTGCTGCCTCTTCCTCGTGCACTTCCTTCCTCCTTTTCACCACTTCCTTCCTTCCTTCTTTGCAGGTCATATCGATGCCTTAACGTCCAATCTTTTCCTGCTTGAACAATTCCCTGCCGAAGGGTTGAAGAAAAGATTTGGAACATTTAAGTGAGTACAACCTTTTTCCTTTTTGAATGGAAAACCAATCTAGCCCTCCCAATGTTTTGGAAAACCAGAATCTCCCTAATTTTTTGGAGAAAAATGGCATTCACAACCCATTATTTTACTCTATTATTATTTATTTTACTTATTATTATTACATTTATTATTTTTTGTATTATTATTTTATTACATTTATTATAAATTTCTATTATTACTATTACATTTCCATTATTTTACTCTTTTATTATATTCATTACGTTTATTATTTTACTCTATTATTACTCTTACTATCACATTTCCATCATTTTACTCTTTTATTATATTTATTACGTTTATTATTTTACTCTATTATTACATTTCCATTATTTTACTCTTTTATTATATTTAATACGTTAATTATTTTACTCTATTATTACTCTTACTATCACATTTCCATTATTTTACTCTTTTATTATATTTAATACGTTAATTATTTTACTCTATTATTACTCTTACTATATTTCCATTATTTTACTCTTTTATTATATTTATTACGTTTATTATTTTACTATATTATTACTCTTACTATCACATTTCCATTATTTTACTCTTTTATTATATTTATTACGTTTATTATTTTACTCTATTATTACTCTTACTATTACATTTCCATTATTTTACTCTTTTATTATATTTGTTACGTTCATTATTTTACTCTATTATTACTCTTACTATTACATTTCCATTACTTTACTCTTTTATTATATTCATTACGTTTATTATTTTACTCTATTATTACTCTTACTATCACATTTCCATTATTTTACTCTTTTATTATATTTGTTACGTTCATTATTTTACTCTATTATTACTCTTACTATTACATTTCCATTATTTTACTCTTTTATTATATTTATTACGTTTATTATTTTACTCTATTATTACTCTTACTATTACATTTCCATCATTTTACTCTTTTATTATATTTATTACGTTTATTATTTTACTCTATTATTACTCTTACTATCACATTTCCATTACTTTACTCTTTTATTATATTTATTACGTTTATTATTTTACTCTATTATTACTCTTACTATTACATTTCCATTATTTTACTCTTTTATTATATTTATTACGTTTATTATTTTACTCTATTATTACTCTTACTATCACATTTCCATTATTTTACTCTTTTATTATATTTGTTACGTTCATTATTTTACTCTATTATTACTCTTACTATCACATTTCCATTATTTTACTCTTTTATTATATTTGTTACGTTCATTATTTTACTCTATTATTACTCTTACTATTACATTTCCATTATTTTACTCTTTTATTATATTTATTACGTTTATTATTTTACTCTATTATTACTCTTACTATCACATTTCCATTATTTTACTCTTTTATTATATTTATTACGTTTATTATTTTACTCTATTATTACTCTTACTATTACATTTCCATCATTTTACTCTTTTATTATATTTATTACGTTTATTATTTTACTCTATTATTACTCTTACTATCACATTTCCATTACTTTACTCTTTTATTATATTTATTACGTTTATTATTTTACTCTATTATTACTCTTACTATCACATTTCCATTATTTTACTCTTTTATTATATTTGTTACGTTCATTATTTTACTCTATTATTACTCTTACTATTACATTTCCATTATTTTACTCTTTTATTATATTTATTACGTTTATTATTTTACTCTATTATTACTCTTACTATCACATTTCCATTACTTTACTCTTTTATTATATTTATTACGTTTATTATTTTACTCTATTATTACTCTTACTATCACATTTCCATTATTTTACTCTTTTATTATATTTGTTACGTTCATTATTTTACTCTATTATTACTCTTACTATTACATTTCCATTATTTTACTCTTTTATTATATTTATTACGTTTATTATTTTACTCTATTATTACTCTTACTATCACATTTCCATTACTTTACTCTTTTATTATATTTATTACGTTTATTATTTTACTCTATTATTACTCTTACTATTACATTTCCATTATTTTACTCTTTTATTATATTTATTACGTTTATTATTTTACTCTATTATTACTCTTACTATCACATTTCCATTACTTTACTCTTTTATTATATTTATTACGTTTATTATTTTACTCTATTATTACTCTTACTATTACATTTCCATTATTTTACTCTTTTATTATATTTATTACGTTTATTATTTTACTATATTATTACTCTTACTATCACATTTCCATTATTTTACTCTTTTATTATATTTGTTACGTTCATTATTTTACTCTATTATTACTCTTACTATTACATTTCCATTATTTTACTCTTTTATTATATTTATTACGTTTATTATTTTACTATATTATTACTCTTACTATCACATTTCCATTATTTTACTCTTTTATTATATTTATTACGTTTATTATTTTACTCTATTATTACTCTTACTATCACATTTCCATTACTTTACTCTTTTATTATATTTATTACGTTTATTATTTTACTCTATTATTACTCTTACTATTACATTTCCATTATTTTACTCTTTTATTATATTTATTACGTTTATTATTTTACTCTATTATTACTCTTACTATCACATTTCCATTACTTTACTCTTTTATTATATTTATTACGTTTATTATTTTACTCTATTATTACTCTTACTATTACATTTCCATCATTTTACTCTTTTATTATATTTATTACGTTTATTATTTTACTCTATTATTACTCTTACTATTACATTTCCATCATTTTACTCTTTTATTATATTTATTACGTTTATTATTTTACTCTACTATTACTCTTACTATCACATTTCCATTATTTTACTCTTTTATTATATTTGTTACGTTCATTATTTTACTCTATTATTACTCTTACTATTACATTTCCATTATTTTACTCTTTTATTATATTTATTACGTTTATTATTTTACTCTATTATTACTCTTACTATTACATTTCCATTATTTTACTCTTTTATTATATTTGTTACGTTCATTATTTTACTCTATTATTACTCTTACTATCACATTTCCATTACTTTACTCTTTTATTATATTTATTACGTTTATTATTTTACTCTATTATTACTCTTACTATCACATTTCCATTATTTTATTCTTTTATTATATTTATTACGTTTATTATTTTACTCTATTATTACTCTTACTATCACATTTCCATTATTTTATTCTTTTATTATATTTATTACGTTTATTATTTTACTCTATTATTACTCTTACTATCACATTTCCATTATTTTACTCTTTTATTATATTTGTTACGTTCATTATTTTACTCTATTATTACTCTTACTATTACATTTCCATTATTTTACTCTTTTATTATATTTATTACGTTTATTATTTTACTCTATTATTACTCTTACTATTACATTTCCATCATTTTACTCTTTTATTATATTTATTACGTTTATTATTTTACTCTATTATTACTCTTACTATTACATTTCCATCATTTTACTCTTTTATTATATTTATTACGTTTATTATTTTACTATATTATTACTCTTACTATCACATTTCCATTATTTTACTCTTTTATTATATTTATTACGTTTATTATTTTACTCTATTATTACTCTTACTATCACATTTCCATTATTTTACTCTTTTATTATATTTATTACGTTTATTATTTTACTATATTATTACTCTTACTATCACATTTCCATTATTTTACTCTTTTATTATATTTGTTACGTTCATTATTTTACTCTATTATTACTCTTACTATTACATTTCCATTATTTTACTCTTTTATTATATTTATTACGTTTATTATTTTACTCTATTATTACTCTTACTATCACATTTCCATTATTTTACTCTTTTATTATATTTATTACGTTTATTATTTTACTCTATTATTACTCTTACTATCACATTTCCATTACTTTACTCTTTTATTATATTTATTACGTTTATTATTTTACTCTATTATTACTCTTACTATTACATTTCCATTATTTTACTCTTTTATTATATTTATTACGTTTATTATTTTACTCTATTATTACTCTTACTATCACATTTCCATTACTTTACTCTTTTATTATATTTATTACGTTTATTATTTTACTCTATTATTACTCTTACTATTACATTTCCATCATTTTACTCTTTTATTATATTTATTACGTTTATTATTTTACTCTATTATTACTCTTACTATTACATTTCCATTTTTACTCTTTTATTATATTTATTACGTTTATTATTTTACTCTATTATTACTCTTACTATCACATTTCCATTATTTTACTCTTTTATTATATTTGTTACGTTCATTATTTTACTCTATTATTACTCTTACTATTACATTTCCATTATTTTACTCTTTTATTATATTTATTACGTTTATTATTTTACTCTATTATTACTCTTACTATCACATTTCCATTATTTTATTCTTTTATTATATTCATTACGTTTATTATTTTACTCTATTATTACTCTTACTATTACATTTCCATTATTTTACTCTTTTATTATATTTATTACGTTTATTATTTTACCCTATTATTACTCTTACTATCACATTTCCATTATTTTACTCTTTTATTATATTTGTTACGTTTATTATTTTACTCTACTATTACTCTTACTATCACATTTCCATTATTTTACTCTTTTATTATATTTGTTACATTTATTATTTTACTCTACTATTACTCTTACTATCACATTTCCATTATTTTACTCTTTTATTATATTTGTTACGTTCATTATTTTACTCTATTATTACTCTTACTATTACATTTCCATTACTTTACTCTTTTATTATATTCATTACGTTTATTATTTTACTCTATTATTACTCTTACTATTACATTTCCATCATTTTACTCTTTTATTATATTTATTACGTTTATTATTTTACTCTACTATTACTCTTACTATCACATTTCCATTATTTTACTCTTTTATTATATTTGTTACGTTCATTATTTTACTCTATTA